ATGGCTTGGATATTGAGTGGATTAGACAATGCCCACCACATGCATAGCAATAGAGTTACGTGTATACACAGCTTTCTATTCTTATATATTATAAGTTTTAATTGGATTAAAAGTAATACAAATTGAACAGCATACGCTGCTTAAAACCATATACAGTGTAAAGGTAGCCATCTTGATACATGTAGCAATGATACATGTACTAGACAATCAAGAATATGAACTGTTGGTGGAGTTTTCATCAGCATTTCTCCGCTATTCCTTCAAACTTCAAACATTAATAATTTCACTGAGAATAAAGTAATTTGACTAAAACTTTTCAATATATTTATTTTCTATTTTTGAACTAATATAATAGCAAAAACTTCCAGCTCTTTCTCTAAATCTTGCATTTTATTCTATAACTGCATGCAAATACAAGCAAATATCATTGAATACAGCCACTGAATAACCTATGGCTGTATTCAATGGCTTGAAAATGTACTACTTTTGTCCAGAATAACGTCACTTTCAAAACTGCGTCAAACAGTAATGACGTCACAACTAGGCAACCACAATTTTTGTAAGAAAAAAGGGCGGAACCTATGATGAATTCTAACGTTATTGGTGATGATTTTTTTGTTGATAATCTGAATAGTACAGTGTATTTTGAGATTTGCATGTAGTTATAGAATAAAAACAGAACTCAATGACCATTAAAAACCGCTCGGGTTATTCAATGGTTCAAGAGAGTGTATCCCTGCCGCATTCCACTCGCTATCGCTCATGGAATACTTGTGCAGGGATACACTCTCTTGAACCATGGAATAACCCAAGCGGTATTCAATGGTCATTGAGTTTCTATCTATATGTTTCTTTAACTGACTACGAGTATCATAAATTCTTTTATGACTTTTCCATGATATTGATAATTAGAATTTCAAATATATACGGTACATACACCATAATCAAATGAAATTGTTCTTTTCTTTTTCTTTTTTGGCAGGAACAGAATAAAATCAAAAATGTGCATTATTATATACAATACAAGACCTCACTGATTTTTCATTTGATCTGTTAAATTGTGTCATACAGTGTAGTTCCCAACCATGTTGTATTCATTTTTCAACACTGTTAATACAAACTCAATTCAAAGGCCTGGTTTACAATGGATAATTGTAATTTTATTTCATTACTTTTTAATACGAAGTAAAAGAATCTTGGGTACCAACATCTACCCAATGCAGATCTTTGAAATGAATTCATGAACTATAAATCTTCTGCATTTTGTTTTATTATTAGTAACTGTAACCTTTTGGACATGAGCTGCTGGATTTCTGGCATTTATATTGTAGTACCCACAATATTCTATTTTTTGGTAGATTTTCGCTGCCAAATTGAACTTGAAATTTAGAAAATTGGACCATCATTGTTTGGAGAAAGGAAATGAAATGAAATGAAATGGGGTTTAACGTCCTACTGTTCTGCTCCGAACTGGGCTAATGAAGACGGGCATACGCCATACAGTGTGCTATGAGGGAAATTTTGCCTGGACAGCGGCACTACGGCCTACTCTTATACGTAAAAGCCATTGATTACCCCTCTGTTAACTGTAAAAATGGTATTGGTACTCATTACTTCTTCAACAAACTTTCAACTCTCTTTACAAGTCTCTATCATTGAACCGACAGCCATTATTCCTGTATTCAGAAATTAGTACTATAAAACGGTAGCAAGGTTTACCCAAATCCACCATTACTTCTACTCATAGTACAATAATATATATCGATATTTGATACTATACCATTCTTCACACCAAATTGTCATTTTTAATTCTTTTTGTGTCAAAAGTCCCTCAAATTGTAATTTCCAAGAAACTGATTTTGTGTAATACACGAGTTATATACCTTGGTTACAACCTTCAAACTTGCTTGGGGAAATCACATTTTGAAGGACATTTTTTATCACATAAATGCTAGGATTTTTAATTCAAAATGATTATTTGGCATAATGATCGGTATATTATCAAATATTGATATAAATTTTTGTGATATGAGTTGAAATAATAGTGGATTTGGTTAAAACTTTAAAGCTTGCTTGGAAATCGCATTTTAAGGGGCCTTTTTGACACAAATGTTATTATTTGAAATTAAAAGTGACAATTTTGGTATAAAGAATGGTATATTATCATATATCAATATAAATTATTGTGATATGAGTTGAAATATTGTGGGATTTGGGTGGATTTGGGTAAATCGTGCTACCCCTCTGCTAACTTGACAATCAATACGGTCAATGATTATAATACTAGGCTAAACCTACATACACCAGGCCTATTCACCTACAATTTATAACCGATGCCATTAGTCTGTCACGGTCAAGGCATTTGTTCAATAGTAATTGATACTGCAAATACCATCATACCATTACTACTAATTAATACTACTACTTCTACTACTGAGTAGGGCCTACTACTAGTCTAGGCCTACTAGTCTAGGGAACTAATACTACTACTACTGTCTGATTCATCGTAAATTTTAAACGGATTTCTTCGATTATGAACAAACTACTTAACTTTGGTTATTATAAACTCACCTGTGTGTTTGTAATGAACTCCCGTTCGATAAAATCCATTGCACAACTAATTATCACAACGATGAGAACAATTTCTCTCTTGAAAAATTTGAAAATTTACTTGTAATTTCGACAAAGTCGATGTCAACAATGTCTTCGTGACGTATTGGTCGAATCCAATATACCTGTTGCGGGGGTTGGTTAACATTGAAAGATAGTTTGACAGCGCGATCATTTTGATCGTATATGGGTTTGGGCGACGAAAAATATCAATTGAAGGCAATTACATAGGAGATTTATATGGAAACCATTGATCGCCAGTCTATCAAATTTTCTTCACAATTAAAATATCACTGATTGCACGGATACTCGTAAAAATAAAGTCATGAATAAACTATAAATATCCTATCTTCTTTATGTTATAAATAATTTAACAAGGATCATGAAGCTTACCTCCGAATTCTCTGAGTGTATTTTTAATTTTATACGCATTCTTTCGATCGAATAATAACCGCTTCAGTAACATCTTTAAGCGTGTTGCGGCAGCCCTCAGCGTGTCTATTGCCGTATTGGGTGCCCGGGTGGGTATATAATGCTACTAAGCCCGTATGACCCCGTAAGAAGCGGAACATTAATTCTCGATTCGACAGTTTTGACCGAAGTGTGATAAAGCCCGTAAAACGAATGTATAGTTGTGTTTGTGCGGCATGAGTGTTCAAAAGTAAATACTCCCATCCGAGTCGCTAATCAAATAATTAGAACAAAATATTTCAAAAAGTAAAGCTATAAAATTTGCAGAGATTTTACTAGAATGTAAAAGACGGTAACTAAATACAGGAATGCGGGTAGTTATGTGTGCGAACGCTCAAACTCAATGCCAATTGTCGTAGGTATCCAGACCACTCGGACCAAAGACTACTCGGACTAAGACCAGTCGGACCAAAACAAGACCAGTCGGACCAATTAAATTATATTATAAGGCTAGACAATATGCTATTTATTTATTATTAAATCACAATACAAAGAAGCAAATAATTCTTATACGGAATTCTTATATTTAGAGTTGTTTGGTTCAATTTTGTGTACGTAAATAAATCAACGATTAGTTTTAAAATTAATTAATAATGGTGCCAAAAAAAAATATCAATCTAATTTTTCTTTACTCTTGCAATGAGACTCGGTATGTCCAGACTTTTGACAGTTTCTACATATACGGGTATACTGTTCTTGTCTGATAGCCTAATTTTACTTTTTCCACATTCGCGGTATCCCCAGTGGTTTCATTCCGTTCTACCCCACTAACCCCTGGGTTACTATATATGGGGGGGGGGGAGACACGTTTTCAAGTTATCCGCCCTTGATGCGTTAATATAAACAGCACATAATAATACGAAGACCGGACGTTTATATGCCCCTTTTTAAACGTGACTACAAGTGTGGTTCTCGATATTTTGCGATTTGGAATACAATTATCAATTTATTCAAACAACACGTTATTATTAGTTCGAGTAGTCATATTAAAACACACACAATTAGCAATTTATTCAAATAACACTTTATTATTGGTTCGAGTAGTCATATTAAAATAAACACAATTATCAATTTATTAAAATAACACTTTATTATTGGTTCGAGTAATTATATTAAAACAAACGCAATTATCAATTTATTAAAACAACATTTTATTATTGGTCCGAGTCGTCTTTCTGTTGGGTCCGAATAGTCTTTTTGTATGGTCCGAGTAGTCTATTTGTTTGGGCTGAGTGGTCTATCACTTGGTCCGACTGGTCTTGAACCGAGTGATCTTTGGTCCGAGTGGTCATGGATTCTTGTCGTAATTGTACTTGAATTTCCTATGCTGTCACCCCTAATACGAAATGATATCTTCCGCAGAGTGACGTAACCATCTTCCATATTGGTATTTTTCTCTGGGAAAAGTTTGTGATATTTCAATTTTTCAAGAGAGAACTTGTTTTCATCGTTGTGATAATTAGTTGTGCAATGGATTTTATCGAACGGGAGTTCATTACAAACACACAGGTAAGTTTATAATAACCAACGTTAAGTAGTTTGTTCATAATCGAAGAAATCCGTTTAAAATTTACGATGAATCAGACAGTAGCCAAACCAACTGCATTGGCGGTGCGAACCTTGTAAACAAACATTTTCAGAAGCTCGAATTCAGAGACCAAGGGTAAAATTAATGTTGTCATCTCTTTTTTAGCAATCAAAAGACCTTGCAGGTGTTATTTTACCAATGCATACCATAATTCCAATAGCCAGAACTCACAAATTCAGCTGGAACACCATCACAGTAACCTTCTCAGTCTTTACAGTTCGCCATTAGGCATATTACGTTCGATGGCTTTGATTGGATAATGGGATAAATATGTTAAGAGTGACCAATCAAAGACGAGTTTACAAAAATGTCTACTTCCTGTTTGCCGAGCCTCATAATGACATCCCTTTCCGGTAGATATTTGGGAGCCGGTCAACGATAGAAGAAGACGGATGAATAAATCCTCCCACATCTTAATAACTTCTGCATAATTATATTTTTCAAGATGTTGGGCTTATGTAGAAATAGTTTAATTCTTCTTCTCTTACTTTTACCCACCGCTGTGATATTTGTAGGACAAGGTAAGGAAAATATTTGAGACGTCGCGACATGTTGGCAACCTGTTAGCATCTTTTTATTACGACTACGTGGCAGTCGTCTTCACGCATACCAACTTGTTATCGACACAGATTATCATTATGTATTGTTGTGAATCAAAGATATGATTAAATTAATGAAAGTTACGTTCACCTATACATATTTATCTTCGATTTTATTTTTTTATTGATCTTTGAAATAAAATTAACACCGTATTGGCGTATTGATTTGATGATTGATCTAGACTATTATTAATGCACTTTTTATTTCAACTCTTTATCAAATAAAGTTTTTTTTATGTTCATTACATTAGAAAATGTTAAGTTTTATATATGATTTCACAATCAAAACCACCTGTTTGGCTTTGCAGTTAGTGATAATGAATGTCAGGATAGTGAATAGGCTGCCATATCAGAAGTTGTTAAATTATACATGTAGGGTAGTCAACTGACTAAATCATGTGTGGATACAGTCTTCACATGACTTTCAGTAGGCTTATTTTATTGACAAAGTCTACATTTTAAGTAAACACTGCCAGTATAACTATAACCTTCCACTCAACAACTGCTGAACTGGGACACACATTCAGTTGATAATCTGATTTGGTAGTAAACTGGTTAATCAGAAAGCCGTTGTCCTGAAACTTATGAATATTTTTGTAGGTGGAAGAAGTAGTATTTTAGTTTATGCAGAAGAAGCAGGAGATGTACTTGAAGGTGAAGATGATGATGCCACTGTAGACTCGGATGAACCGGTTGCTGATGATGGTGCAGAAAGTGATCTCACTGCTACTGAAAAGGTGAAGATAAATTTATTTTCGATAATATTTGAAAGAATAATAAACCCTCATTGAGAATATAGCCATTGTGAGAAGTGAAATGTGTATTTTATGCAGCTCTTGGATCTAATGATGTTGACAACTGTAGATCTATAGTCATACAGTTTCATGGTAATCAATCTGAAACAAAATGTAGGCATAAGAAGTTATTTTATAGGGAAGTAGTATTAAATGGCTTGAGGCACTTTTGCATAAATCCCATCAATCAGTTCCACTTGAGTGAATAACAATGGACACATTTCAGTTATATAGTAAACACTTTATTTTATTGTGTAACAATGCTTTTGTACCTGTAATAGTAAAGACATTAACTACTGCTTTCACAACTAATGTACATAGTCATTTGGTTTAAAATATAATCCTAAATGAGGACTTATTAGGTCTACACATTTGTAATAGATTTAATTCAAGTTGCAGAAGGATTGACATTTTCTTCATAAACTGAAGTGATATCCCTTTCCAGTTTAAATTTTAACCCCCACATCTCAAATTTTAACCACCAATATGAAACAGTACTGTATAACTTTAACTCATTGACATCTTTCATTTTTTGACAGGAGGAAGATGACACACGGTTAAAACCTTCACCACATGTTGATACTATTATACATTTTGTTAGACCTAACAAACCTTCAGGTACTTGTAAAATCTTGAGTAAAAATGTACATATACGATGCATTGTCAGTTTAAATTGATAGAGGTTACGATTATCTCTAATTGTATACTTTCCTCCAAGTTTTATAAATCTGAATTTTGCAGGTGCTCTTCACCAAGCTGTTAATCTATAATTGAATTTCGAGAAAAATCAGTCTTTGTTTGAACTATATATGTTCATCATTTGCTTCCTATCGTATAGTTTCATTGTTTAATCTTGTTTTCTTCACATACAATGTAGATAATATTGGTGGTGACAATTTCTGATATCTTACCCTTAGTTTATCTTATGGTTTTGAATCAAAAAGGGGGGTTGGATGGCTGAATGGTTATGACGTGGTTTCGATTCCCCATTTGTACGTGACAAGGAGTAGGCTCGCCTATCCAACCTTGTGGGTTTTCTCCGGGTCCTGTGCGTTTCCTCCCACTGCTACATACCCCTACAAGCAAACAAATTATTGAAATAAAACTCAACCATATGTTAGTCCCAAAATGACCTAGTTTGTGTCCAGTGGATGTTAAGCCCCATTTCACTCTTAACCAAAAAATTGCAATAAAACCTATATCTGATATTTTTATTTTTCAGAACTACCAGCTGGTAGACTAGTCAGATTATTGGTTGGTTTTACCAATAATGGAGAATCAGACTTTGTTGTTGAGAGTATGGATGCTTCATTCCGATACCCACAAGATTACTCGTTTTACCTACAAAATGTAAGTTTTTAGTTTGTTCATTGGTGATTTGTAACACCAGAATAATTAAATTGTTATTGAAACTCAAATGATGAGGATAGCCTTCTATTCACGTTTGTTGCTTCTCATGATTCAGTACGATTTAATTGACAACAGAGCTCTGTCCTGTGTGATACTTTTCTAGCAGTTTCGTATGGGGGGGGGGGGGAATTTGTAAAAAACCAATACCAATCATTCTGTATATAGCATGTTATTCAATATAAATCTAAATGATTTTATGTCATTTAAGATTAAGAAAACATGCTAGATAAACTAGAGTTGCTAGAGCATTATCACTAATATTAGTGCCAGTGTGTAGAACTTCTTTTACAAATTCTTTGACTTGTATTAGAAATACCTAATTGATTTTTAATTGTTTTCCATTAAGATGAATTGTTTTGGTCTATTTTCAGTTTACTACTGTAGGATATTCCCAAGTTGTTGAACCTAAAAGACAAGCTACATTCGAATATGGATTTACTCCCAGTGATGCCTTTAGTGGACGACCATTTGGTCTCTCAATTATGTTAAATTACAAAGATTCTGTAAGTTTACAAGATTTTTCCTATTACCCTGGATAATCAATGACTGATTAATAGACTGGTTATCGAGATGCTTGACCCTCACTCGCATTGATCAATCGGTCAAGAGAATGAACTTCAATCGAAATAAGGATAAGGATGAAAAGCCTACACCTGCTTTAATTTTATACTATTGGTACACTGATGACCCACATAAGCAAAGTTCGTCCAACAGTTATGTATTTATGTATTTCAACTGTACGGAATTTTGCTAGATAAAATCAAGATACTAAAGCATCAGCATTTTCTGTATAATGTTTGGTGTGTCGAAATCATTGTACAACACACTTTTATTTCAAGATTAAAGAGTAAAATAATTATAAATATTTCTTGAATTGCTTCAAAGCCAACAATACAACTCATTCATAGTGTTTTCAATTTTATTTTTCAGAATGGTGCAGAATTTGCAAATGCTATTTATAATGAAACTATTACAGTAGTTGAACCTGAAGAAGGGTTAGACGCTGAAACGTAAGTAAAGTATTAGTCTTGTTTTGATTGACAATTATGCTTTTGTCTAGAGTAAATTGCATTTAAGTAATACAGCACTAATATCTGGGTATCTCCCTTTTAATATAGTTGTTGAAATATTGGTACAAATTGAATGTATGGTGTTAATAATGAAAAAGGACCACTTATTGAAGAAAATATTTAATGACAATGTTTACATGAAGGATTAAATAACAAAATTACTAATGTTTTTCTGATGATTTAGAAATAAACACAGAATTGGATTATATTGTTTGAATTCAATGTTTTCTTCAGTGAGTATTAAATTGTTGGTACAGTCTAAACTCTTGACCATTCAGAATTTCATTGAAATTGGCAGTATTAAGTTAAATTTTTAAAATTTTGCTTATCGAACATTTTATGTTTGGAAATGAATGTAAATGGTCAGTAGTTGTGATTGTGTGGGTTCCTATGGGATATTATATATTATTGGATACTCATTGATTTTGTTTGTGACTACTGGTCCTTTCAAAAAAACACGAGCTCTACTAACTAGTGAACTGTCATGGTTGTGAATTACTAGTTATTTCCAAAACCATTTTTGTGGTATTATTGTTTAACTAATTTTTGTAATTCAAAACCTGGATGTTGTATGTGTTTTTTTTGAAGATGTGACAGAATATTGGGTACATATATTTGTAGTTTTGTTTTTGAGAATTGGATTATAATGTAGAGGGAGATATAGTAATTGTTTTTAAGAATATTTTGTAATTTTCTAAAAGGCTAGAAAAAAGGATGCAGAGGTAAGAATGGTTATAGGGATATATAAACTTTTTTCCCCCATATTTTCAGGAATAGGAATCTTCGAAATATAGGTTTTATAAAAAAATTCTATAAACTGTACACCTAGGATAAATTTTCTAGTACTTAAAAAAATATCCCAGTTTTCCCTTTTATTTTTAGGAATTGGATCCTATTTTCTTTTAGTTTATTGAATTTTTAATACCCTGAAGTTCTGATTTATTTCTAATCGTCTACGAAACTTGCTGATAAGGATGGAATATGGAAAATTTAAGTTCCGAATTTCATTCATAGAAAACAGAGATCCTATTAATTGGAATGTGTCCATTGGTATTTTTTTTCATCCCAAATCCAGATCACAACAAAAAGAATTATTTTGATAGTTCAGATATTTTCTATTTTATTTCTTCGAAAATCCCAATTTTATTTTGAAACCACTCACCTAATCCCATAAATCTTTCAAAAATATTTTCATATTGACATTCTTTCTGTCAAAGCAATATAATCTGTGTGCTGATTGCAATGAAAATTCTATAAATTTTAGTTATTTTGGATTTCACTAATTTCAGCCACACATAGCATGTTATTCAATATAAATCTAAATGATTTTATGTCGTTTAAGATACCGAAAACATGCTAGATAAACTAGAGTTGCTAGAGCATTATCACTAATATTAGTGCCAGTGTGTAGAACTTCTTTTACAGGAAATAATGAAATATTGGCTGAATTGAAGATTGTTTACTTTAATTTTGATTAATGAAGCTGATTAATCTCTCATACCTGCGATCAAGAGATCTTGAAGGAGTTTGATTTTGGTGTGCATCATCCCTGACCTTCTTGGGTTATGGCCCCTACCTTTAAGCAAAATGTGGAATATGTACAAAGTTGTAGAGCTTGAGTGCACATTTTTTGACAAAATTAGTTGAAACATCTTTTATATTATGTATGAAAAGATGTCAGGAGCTTTTTGGGTTTTTTTTAAAATTTGGTTTGAAGCATTGAGGTCATGAAGTCTAACCCTATCCATATTCAGTATTCCGTGACCTTCCATTCCAGACTTAATCCCCTCTTCTGAAAACTTTGTGAGCGTGACTGGTAACGGTTTTAACAGATTTTTTTCAAATTTGGTATGAAGCATTTGCACATTGAGCGGATGGGTCCTGTTGATTTCCTCCCATTACCGTAAAAGCACACTACTATTCCCATAAATCATAGAGAAATATTTCCTTGACAACCTTTCTGGCATAACAATATGAATTGTGTTATAATTCCAGTGCAAATATTTAAAATCTATAGCATGTTATTCAATATAAATCTAAATGAATTTTGCCATTTAAGATAAAGAAAACATGCTAGATAAACTAGAGTTGCTAGAGCATTATCACTAATGTTAGTGCCAGTGTGTAGAACTTCTTTTACAGAAAATATTGAAATATCGGCTGAATTGAAGAGCGTCATTTTATTTTGAATAATGAAATATCAAGATTTTAGTAAAAGCCTGCAACCGATTAATCTTCAATATTTTTCTTGCCTGCGGTTTTAGAACTTGTTAAATTTGTTTATGGATGAGCATGATTGACTGGATTATCATAATGAAATATCAACGAGATTTTAGTGAAAGCCTGCAACTGATTAATTTCTTCAACATTTTTCTTGCCTGCGATTTTAAAACTTGTCAAATTTATTTATGAATGAACACGACTGACGTATCATTAGGTCTAATTTGTATGTTTTTGGGGCGATTGTATCAATTATTCACAATTATTTCTTTCTTTTCAGCTTTTTCTTGTATGTGTTTTTAGCAGCTGCTGTTGTGTTATTGTTAATTGGTGCTCAACAATTGATGGCTTCTTTCAAAGTAAGTTGGCATTTATTTAGTTTCTCTAAAACTATAGGTAAATATATTATCCAATAATGAATACCGATGAACATGACTTCAATTGGTCAAGTGACATATTTAGCTCATTCAGGATGTTCTAATCAAGTATATTAAAATTTGGTTTGTATACGGCAAGTCAACCAGCGAGTCTTGGTGTTTCCAACCCTGATTCTCCTAGAAACCTGCCAAAAGAAACTTGGGGACAGTTTGACCATGTTGTATTATATATATACACTGTGGATAGGCTCCTCGTACATATTATTCATCAGGATCTTGTACCAAGCGCAGCATATTTTTTTTTGTTCTAAATATAATCAAGTAGATTAACCATTTTGTCAAAACTAGTTCGGTTTACTGTATTGATATAAAGTGAAGCACTCAATAAAGTCTAAACTACAACCATTTCAAATTTCACTTAAAGATAATGGGAGATTAGATGAGATAAACAACTGGCTGTTCTCACTATAATAGTTAAAAACAAGATAATGTAAAGGGAATTTGCTGAAAATTTCAGTCAAATTGATCCACTCTGAACCAAGATTTTAGTGATTGAATTTTTTGCCTAGCCTTGATAATTATTACTAAAGTCGGTACGATAAAGAACAGTCTCGATTATCCAGTACATTATTTAATCAAGAATGAAAGTCGAACAGCAGATCGGAACCTAATCCAATAAACATCGCAGGCTGGATAAGTTAATTAATTAATTTAGATAACATTTCAGGCCTAAAGAAAGACCTGCAATAGGCAGAATTAGCTCTTGCATGAATAATGTATGTTTAAGAGATTACAGGATTATAAAGAAATATTAGCAAATCGAGGACTGATTGAGGATGTGTTTACAAAGATCAAATATTAATGCAAATGAGAGATTTATTTTTATTTAGAAATCAGTTCTAAGGAATTCAGTAAGAAATTTAAAGTGTCAGAAAGACATTAGCAGGAAGTTGAGACTTGTCGTTTATTTCTTCACCCAGTGCATGTCTTATCAATGCAACCTATTCCGTTCATTCTTTTACAAGATTGCTGGTTTTTACAGCGTTAAACATGCTTGTTATACTAAAAGAACATGCCTTGGCTTTTAAGTGAAATATCCAAAGCAAAGGAATAAACTCATTAACACCTTGACCTGATGAAGTACTTACACCTTGATCTCACTAAGTCGGTAGACAATAGCTTATCTCCCTGGGGCAAATTAAGGATTATTTGTTAATCACATGTATTACATATAATATAAAAAAAATAAACTATTGATCCAAATATATCCATAATATTCAAAGTTTATAAGAATAAATTTAGTTTAGTCCACAAGTTATTCTGGTTGAGTTCATAATGGAATATCAGTTATATAGCACATTTATTTAACGTTCAGTTTTCTAAGACTAAAGTCACATATTTAGATATCAGTACCTGCACAGTGCTGAATTTAGGCTGTGCTTGTGTGGGGATATATTTATCTCCAATTTACTTTCTCTGCTTTTGGACGATTCTTTGCTGTCTTTATTTGTGTATACGGCAAGTCAACCAGCGAGTCTTGGTGTTTTCAACCCTGATTCTCCTAGAAACCTGCCAAAAGCAACTTTGAGGACAGTTTGACCATGTTGTATTATATATATACACTGTGGATAGGCTCCTCGTACATGAATGATATCGACTTCAGAAACTTCACCTAGGTTGTCTTATTCCAGAGTTACTTCCCTTGCATATGTCTTTATTGATCCTCCAAATATGAAAAGTATTGTAGAACATTGAATATAATAATAGTAATCACTAGACCATAGAGAGAAGATAGGGTGGGGCTATAAGGTCTTATAAATTTCACTAAATAATCGCATGTCGTTACCCCATTTAATTCATTCTAACCATTTTCTTGTTTTAACCAGTTTTACATAATCTTTTACTAGTTCCGGCGGGTATTGCCACTGTATAAACTTCGATTTTCAATTTTAGATTCAACATTTCTGAATGAACATTTTATTTCATGAAAAGATGACCTAAAAATGCTTCCTTCCAATGTCAGATCTATATAGTTTCTGATTTTCAATTTTTCAGAAAAAGCCAGCGAGGTCAAAAACACCAGTCGAAATGGGGACTCAGAATTCAGATATAGATTACGACTGGATCCCAAAGGAAGCCTTAATAAGTAAGTTTTCTTTCTCTAACACCTAATTCATATTGAATTATGAAATATGTTATTGATATCCAAAGTAAGTTTAAGTTCATTTACCAAAGCTACTCGAACTCGACAGGCAGTTGATTTGTTGTGGTAGTTATCCAACATTTGTGTGATATCTTATCAGATCGTGGATTTAATACTACCATGTAGACTTGAGAAATAGAATAGGGCCGCCTGCTTTATTCGCTTGGAATTTTGTAAGGTTCATATTAATCATTTACAAAAACCCTGGCCAAGATGTTATTCAGAAAAGAAAGGCATATGGTGAATTTTTTACCTGGACGTATTTTTTATTTATGTATTTATATATACAGCTATTGTGCATCAGTGTGATTTGTGTTCCTAATGCGATCTATGTATTATCTCCCATTTAACAATAGGTTATAAGTTGTCAAAGATTATTTCTTTGCTTTTCGCTCCATCATTAATAGATTTATCTTGTTTTCTTTCAGATCATTCCCCAAGAAGAACCCCAAAGCAATCCCCCCGCCAGCGTCGCTCAAAACGTTCAACGGGGTTCGGGGAAGAATAAATAAATACAGCGGGGAGTTAGTCTTAAAATTTTTAATTATTCCTAAGCGTGTTAATTTCTCATTTATCACAAATTTAATTTTTTTCCATAATAAAATTTATATTCAATCCCGGAAAATGGTTTTATGTTTTCAATATCTGCTTCGTGTTTTGGTTTGTGGCTGTGAAGGATCATCTTACATGGATTGTTTAATGCTATGAAATTAAATGGAGTTTAACATTTCTCCAAGCTGGACAAATGAAGACTGGCATACACCATGTACTGCACTGTGGGGGGAAATTTTGCTGAAACCGTGGCAATTGTGCCTGCTCTTCTTTGAATTTTTACATACACTGGTTACCAGTTTGTTCCAGAATTGACGACAAACTTCTTTGTATTGTTTATACATGTCTTCATGGTTCCAATCCTGCGTATTCGAGCTTATAAACCTTTACATACCACCACGTAACAAGATCTCAAGATTTGTGCTTATTACACATTCCAAAGTATAATCTACAAACTTTCGGTTCTAGAACATTCCAGTACAGTGCACCTATATTGTGGAATTCTTTACCCCATCACCTTAAAAGCTCCATCACTTGAATCTTTTAAAACAGAACTAAAAACTCATCTATTTACCAGTGTATTGAACTAGAATGGATCCAGATATGTGTGTAAATAGTGACCATAGAGTACATAGTACTAGAGCATGCATTTGTGGATGGATTGGCACTTTATTATTACGGTACCTATATTTTTAGTCAAATTGAATTCTTTTCCTTGCCATGTTGGGGGGTTGGATGGCTGAATGGTTAGCAAGTGCGTGCTGTATCATAAAGTCTGTCATTGAGTCAACTGGCGTGGTTTCGAATCCCCGGTTGTACCTGACAAGGAGTAGGGTCGCCTGTCCAACTTCGTAGGTTTTCTCCGGGGGGTTGGATGGCGGAATGGTTAGCACGTGCACGCTGTACCATAAAGTCTGTCATTGAGTCAACTGGCGTGGTTTTGAATCCCCGGTTGTACGGGGCAAGGAGTAGGGATGCTTGTCCAACCTTGTGGGTTTTCTCCCGAAATGACCTAGTTTGTGTCGAGTGGATGTTAAACCCCATTTCTCTCTCTCTCAGGGTCCTCCGGCTTCCTCCCACTGCTAAAGACCCCTACGCGCAAGCGAATTATGGAAATAAAATTGAACCATGTTAGTCCCGAAATGACCTGGTTTGTGTCGAGTGGACGTTAAACCCCATTTCTCTCTCTCTTTCTCCTTGCCATGTTACTCTGTACTACTGACACAGGGAAAACCAGGCAGGAAAATCCCAGGAACTTTATCCACCTGTGATTGGGAGGGGGCAGGGTACCTCTTATTTTGTGAGTCAGTGCCATACTCAATAAACCATCGTGACTCCCTGTGATGAATGCAGGATTATCATGGAGTAGAAAAGTAACACGTTCAAACCCCATTTCATTTAAAAGCCAAGGGGCATTGTGGGAGATTTGATAAAGAGCTGGCAGTTCTCGCTATAATAGTTAAAAAAAATAAATAGAATATGCTGAAAATTTCAAATTGCTCCACTCTGAACCGAGACATTAGCGATTGAATTTTAGGCCTAGCCTCGATCATCATTACTAAAGGCGGTACGATAAAGTATTCATTATCCATTTTGACGTTACATTATCCATCACAAAATGTATTCAAATCCAGTAAATATCGCATGCCAGCGATGTCATCAAGAGTTGATTATGGTCTGGATCAGTTAATTAATATTTTTGATAACATTTTACGTCTAAAATAAGACCTGCAAAGGCAGATTTAGCTCTTGCATAATGTATGTTTAATAAATGAAGATTTCATAATTGTGATACTCTGCAAGGAGTATGTTATTTAATACAATAGTACTAGAGAACAGCAAGCCTGGAAATAAGACACCTGTCACTAACAATGTCAGCAGGCACAGATTCAGGCTTTGTCAGGCACAAAATCTCCAGTGCCTGTCATTTTGTCCAGCACTGATATGTCTTTTTTTGCTGATATTATTAACACACGTCCGGCACTAAGTCGAAAATGTCAGGTACTTTTTCATTAGTGCCTGACATTTTGTCAGGTACATCTAAAAGCGTTATTTCCAGGCCTGGAGAACAGAAGTTATGCCATGTTAATTCCTGAAATGAGAATTTGGTATTGAGGTGTCCGAGAAAGAATATGCATACCTGGTTAAGCTGTGCTATAAACACAATGGTTTGGAAAATATAAATGAAATGAAATGGGGTTTAACCTCCTACTGTTCTGCTCCTATACTGACTGGGCTAATGAAGACGGGCATACGCCATACAGTGTGCTATGAGGGAAATTTTGCGCGGGCAGCGGCACTATCGCCTACTCTTATATTGAATTCCAACTGCCAAGGGATCTTTTATGTGCATTCCAATTTATACACGGGACCTCGGTTTTTATCTCATCCGAAGGACTAGACAGCTGTCCTTGTCGGGCCCTCTGTTCTGCACCACTGACAAGGGGAAACCACGTTGGAAAATCCCAATGAACTTTCCCGGCCAATGCAGGGATCGAACATCCGACCTCCAGGCTAGCGAGCCAGCGTCTTAACCACCCAGCCACTGTGGCATTACGATTTTCTGCTCGATTTGATTCTCATAGAAAGTAAGATATTAGTCTGCATTGCTCAGTTGTTTTTAAAACGCACTTTCATCCTTAGTCTGGGGAGGGGTCTCATAAAGTAGAATAGTCTAGGATCTCTCTTCATTTTAATCCGGCACAGTATATTATTTTGTATGTATTCTTGTACAATACATTGGGGATGCAATTCTTTCTTTTGCATGGCGGGGATCACGTGGTTCGCTGGCCTGGAGGTCGGGTGTTCGATCCCTGTATTGGCCGAGAAAGTTCATCCAGATTTTCCGGCATGGTTCTCCCTTGTCAGTGATGCAGGACGGAGGTCACAGTTATTATCTGATTTTAAAAATCGTTTGAATATATCACCGTAACACCATAATAAAGGTTGAGTTCGAATTTCGTGAAAATCGGAACAAAACTGTCGGACGATTTTGATGAAACTTGACATGCATGTTTATAACCCAAAGCTAGTCTGTGATGTTACAGCTATTTAACCACACTGATCAGCAGTGAATTTTCGCTAGGCCTCTACAATCACTGATAAGGATGACATCAATGTCTCAATATTAACTTTTTTCCACCGACAAATTAAATTCTAAAACATTTTTTTGATGTATTAGACAAATAAATAAAAACGTTTGACGTATTTGTAGGTAAAAATTATTTCCTATTTAGTGTAAATGGGTATTAAAATGACTAAAAGGCAGCATTCTGCCCGAAGCAGTAACGTCTTATGTAAACAATGCACGCGCCATTCAGCCAATGATTGACGCCGCGTGCTGTGACGGCACGTGTTAAAGGTAGTCATCTTTTACAGAGATATTAGAGAAGACTCGTAATTCTCTGTAAAACAGATTGCCATTTAACATTGAAGTCAATGGGCAAATAATTGTTTAGTCTTGTCCTACATAGTTACTTCCCTTTAATCAGATACACCATTCAGCAAAAATCGGCTTACTGACCCAATAATTTAAATCTGGACAGATACCTATTTCTCAAAGAAAATCAAAATATCAAATTTAATTAAATCATAACTTTAAAAATTCTGACCCATGTCAAAGAGTTAACCTTTTAAATTACAGTTTAGCTTACAAAAAAATTAAAAACATTTTAAAATCAAATTGGTATATTACCGTATATTTGTTGGATGACTCATAGTGTAAATAATTACTTTACAATGTACTATAATACTATGTTTATGTGTGAAATGAATGACGCAGCGTGATAATTGATCAACCATAAAACCAAGCATATATTATGGTGTATCAGGGCTTAACCAATACACTTTGAAAATTTGATTGATATAAGGTGTCTTTCTAAATCAAATGTGGAATGAAATGGGGTTTAACGTCTGCACCGATGGGCTACTGAAGACTGGCTGCCATATGCCGTACAGTGTGCTATGAGGGACAATTTCTCTGGACAGCAGCTACAGCCTACTCTTAATTTGAAATCCAACTGTCAAAGGTTTTACATGCATGCTGAAGTGTAAACGGGACCTGAGGTTTTTTTTTTGTCCCATCCAAATGACTAGACACTGTCCTTGCCAGGCCCTCCTTTCTCCACTACTGATAAGGGGATCCACGCCGGAAAATCCAGGGAAGCCAGCGTCTTACTCAGTGAGCCATCGTGGCTTTTAAGTCAAATGTCGAACTTCAGATATTATGCTAAATAGTGCTATTAGTAAAATATCAGTGGTTCTATAGGATTATGGGTGGGTGATTTTAATGCAGGCCTTTTAGACAATATTTTGCTTTGGGTCACTTCAATAACCATGAAATATATAAAGGCCAGATATCTGATCTGGGATAATGTATATAAATATACTTAAGCTTATTTAAAATCCTGTAGACAATGACCTGATACTAACCTTATATGACCCCATCATGACAGTAATCAGCTTTGTGTCTGTACAATTCATGATATTTATATATATATAGAGTTTATTTGGCCAGTTATATCATGTTTTGGTGGGTTGGATGGCCGAATGGTCAGCGTGTGCGCACTGTATCATAGGGTCTGTCATTGAGCCAACTGGCATGGTTTCGATTCCCCGGTTGTAGGTGTATTAAAGTTATAAACAGAGAAACCTCGACACATCTTTCAATGACATAACTATTTAGATGTATCAACTGTCAAATATTGGCTATATAAGTGATCTGTCATCTATGCAAGTCATGGGATTGGCCACATATGTGCATATAACACGGTGTTTGGTTACCAGACTAACCTTGTATGTTTTCTCCACTTTACTCCAAGTGTTTTTGAATTCTGAGAGGGAGCCACATTGGCTCAGTAAGTAGGACGTTGGCTTGATAATCTGGACGTCCTGTGTTTGTAGGGATTTTCTGGTTTGTTTCCCCTTGTCAGTGGTGTAAGATGGAAAGCCTGGCAAGAGAAACATATAGTCTTTTGAATGGGACGAAAACCTGAGGTCCCGTCTACACATTGGCTTAAGCATGCAAAAAAATCCTTGACAGTTGAAATTTGAAATAAGAAGAGGCTGTATAGCCGCTGTCCTGGTAAAATTTGTCTCATAGGACACTGCATGGAGTGTGCCCCTCTTCATTAACCCAGTAGGATTAGAACTCCATTCATTTACCTTTGAGTGGGGTTGGATGGCTGAATGGTTAGCCTGCGCGCGCTGTATCATAAAGTCTGTCATTGAGTCGACTGGCGTGGTTTCGAATCCCCGGTTGTACGTGACCAGGAGTAGGGTCGCCTGTCCAACCTCGTGGGTTTTCTCCGGGTCATCCGGTTTCCTCCCACTGATAAAAGACCCCTACGCGCAAGCGAATTATGTAAATAAAATTAAAACCCTATGTTAGTCCCGAAATGACCTAGTTTGTGTCAAGTGGACGTTAAACCCCATTTCTCTCTCTCTTATTTACCTTTGAGAGCAAGTAAATTTTTGAAATACTGTTAATAATGAAAAGACCTGTTATTCTCACGAAGCTGGCAAAGAGAAATAATTAGTAATTTATTAGTTTGTGCTATGATGAACAAAGGGATTTTATACAGCTGTTCCTTAATAAATATGAAATCACAAGGACAAACATTAATACAAAAAAATATCTAAAAATACCAATGGTATTGGTATTGATTTTTCTGTCCATTAAATATGCTTTATGTAGATAACATATAAATATTCAGCAGGTCACAAAAGCTGTTAATCGGTGTTCCAGCTCATTGCTGCTAAAATGAGAAGGAAAAATTGCCATTTAGTTGTGAGATTTTGAGTCCTATTGGAGAATAGTCCCAAAACATTTTCATGTGCTGTTTCCAAATTTATTTTTGCCCCACATGATTCTGAAATTGACATATGGGCTATACTTATAAAATTTATATATTATACTATTTTCATATTAATAACTTATAACCTACTTACTATATAATAAGTAGATCCCAGGTGGGAAATAAATTATTTATAACCAAAGGCAAACAGCAAGGCAAAGCAAACATTTAACATGATCAGTATTGCCCTGTGTAATATCATTTAGCTTACAGTAGAATTAATCAGTATTTGTTAGATTACAAAATGTGGAATATTGCCTGAAACTATATTAAATAATTTTCTAAATTGATATCCAAAACATTTCCGACTTATATGAAGGGTATGTGCCATATTATATAGGCTACCACAGACCAAACATATAAGGATAATACATTAAAATACAGAAACAAAATTCATGGTAAAAACTGGTGATGACTCAATCAAATTATAACAACAGCGGTACACGTACAGGGCCTATTAATTTTCGCCTGGACAAAAGTACACCAGCAAGGTCAAAATTCGCTATGTGGGGGTCAACACATATCGTTATATTTTCCTTAGCTAAAAGGGGAAGTGTTTCTCATTACTGGTTATTCAGGTTTTCTGGCATTTAAAGCGCTTCGGGCCGTCATAATAAAACGACAAGATGGTATCGATCAAAAATAGGTCAATTTCATCATCGCTTAAATTATATTATAAACTTTAACCCACTAAGAAGACAGGGGTTTTAATAATGCTTAATCGGAAAGATGCGCTGAGTCATGTTTCAACGGGTTCTATTCAGTGTAATTCAGAAGTTCATTAAGAACAGTTCAACTAATTAGGGTCAAAGCATATCATTCACCCGTAACGTTAGCGATGAAACGGGGATTATAACGGCTTCAGTGTTTGTTTACATTATTTCTATCAAAGGTCATATATGGTGACCCGTGTTGTCAATAAACGGGTCAAAGTTCATACCTAGTTTTCTAACGGTTTGATTGGCTACACGTGACGTCAAAACAGACTATTCCCTCTGCTTGCGTCACGAAAATTTACAAACAAGCAAAATGGCAGAGAGTACAGATGCCCCACGTCAAATTTCTCGCCAAGAATTGGACGACAAAGAAAATATAATGAATTATGAACCAGATTGTAAGAAGCCAAGACTGTCTTCACACAGTTCTTTGAAGAATTTTAACCTTGAAGATCGTCTGAGTGGAATTTTATGCTGCGCAGTTTGCCTCGACTTGCCCAGAACATGTTATCAGGTTGGTTGGTCACTCGGAAGGGAAAAAACCCACCCGTTCAATTGGTTTCAGAATGCTTTGAACTATGGTTCAAATCATATTTTATTTGATTAATTTTCACATGTAAACTGTATTTTATTCTTTAAAGACCTCGGCGCGTTAAGATATTGATTGGACATTGAAGTTAACTTAACCTCACACTTTTTCTGATGAAATAAACGATCGAAATGTCAAAATATACTGTCAGTTCAGTTTTATTCATATCTCTCTCTTTTATAAAAACATTGATTCATTTCGCTTAATCCCAGAACAGCTCAGGGTCGGCTTTAAAATAGTCACATATGTTACCCTAAATATGACCTTTGTGAAATCGAATGTCCGGTGATTTTAGGGGCTTTGAGATGAGGCGTCTGCAAGAAGTTGCATGCAAGGTCGAAAACCTGCATAGCATCATCACGTGATTTTGACGTGTCGTGTTTATGTTCTATTTTTGGCACGAGGCAATCAAATAGGTCGGACCCTGGGAAAGCAACATTCCTGGCTAGCTGGACATTCATTTATCAGCGTACTACTAAACATAATTATATTAGTTGACCCAGATACTCTCAAGCCTAATACACGCCCTGAATAAATTAACCCAAATCCAAAACAGAGAAAATATATGCACTATGTAAAATAAAATAATGCTAAAATTCAATTGCTTATTTGCTAAATTAAATTTAAATCAAATATTTTAAAAGATAAAAACAAAAGTAGAGCATTATTATTAAAAGTAAAGAACATTATTTGTTAAAGAAATGACCAGTCTATGAAATAATATTGGTTGGTTGTGACATATGTACATCATAGTACATGTAAGATTTCGTACAATCTTACCCTTGAATGATTCTCAACATGGACCTTCAGTCGATTCTCTCATTCAAATAGGAATGAGGTGAAATAATTACTTATTGTACAGGTATTAATCCCCCTATTAGAAATTTAGTAAATAAATAAGTTCATATTGAATTTGGCAGTTGATTTCATACAATCACTATGACTGAACCTTGAATACATGTAATTCTCTGATTATTAGGAATATAATGAAATAATTACTTATTGTATTAAATGTCACAAGAAAATTAGTAAATGAGTAAGACCATATTTGGCAATTGTAAACATACTTACAGTTACACAGTGTGTATTGTATCCGAGGGCCCATATCACTTCTTATTCTCCTAGTTTGTGTCGAGTGGACGTTAAACCCCATTACTCTCTCACTTCTTATTCTAGTTCTTAGTGTTTAATGTCCGCTTCAACCGATGGCGATATCGCAGACGCAAGTTGTCTAGTATGCTTACTGCACGTGCAGGGGTCTTTCCTGTAGGATGAGTAAACCCACAAGGTTCCTATCTCCAAGCTACATAGATACGCTCACACCAGTCCCCAGTTTCACAAACTTCCAATCACTTTTATGAGAAATATCTTTGATCCAGAAACACAAAAATTTGCACCAAGTTTCTTATTGATGTATTTGATACATTAAAGCAACAAAAGTTTTTTAAAGGGCTATATTTTAGTTAAAATAAGGTGAACAATTTTGAGTAAATTCTGAGAATGGTTTGTGAAACCGGTACCTGGGATGGAAACCATGACCACAAGCAGAAGTGACCGGCCAGTGACTAGGTCATCCATCTTCATCAGAAGGCTTGATCTCGCTTTAACTACGTACATCTTATCAAGGTCTTCACGCGATACCCTGCATATTTCGGCACTAAATTCGATTGGGTGCAAACCCAGCTTGTGAGCCTATCAGATTCCTCGACCGTCGCGAATACCAAGTCTCACACTTTCAAGCTAAAATGTCTACCTGTGATAATCGAGTTGCAAAGTTCAAGGTTCATTCAATGTCAAGGTTGCAGTGGAGGTTGCGATGTCACAACCTCTGATTGGACGCTACTGCTCATGTGTCAGTAGATAACATAGATAAGTTAGGGAATTGTGAAGTAAACAAGCAAGGCTAGATGTTGTAAAACTCGCAGTTGTTGCTTCAGGAACATGTAGGTCATCCAAACGCCTGCCCATATCACTGAGCAGTACATATACATGTAGCTTAGACCTTCTTTGAATGCATGTCCTGGTACATGTACATGTACATCTAGTTGAGTATGCATGTCACCTTAACCCTTATTGGTCCCACCCAAAGAAAATAAATGAGAGTGATTAGGGGAAGTTGCGTGTCCTTCGATAAAAATACATCGATCTCCCACCCTACACAACAAATAAATAGTTAAAAATTAATCTTTTTTTTATTTTTCAGTGTATAAATGGACACTTGATGTGCTCTGGCTGTTTTAATCATCTGTTAGCTGATGCTAGATTAAAAGATGAAACAGCAACATGTCCAAACTGTCGATGTGAAATCAGTAAAAATTCCTGCACAAGAAACTTGGCTGTTGAGAATGCTGCATCCGAACTTCCTTTAGAATGCAAGTACTGCAGTCAGAGTCTGGCCAGAAACAAATTAGAATATCACCAGAGGGAACTCTGTCAAGAACGGTAAGATAGCAAGTTGGGGTAAGCCGCTAATAACTAATGACTTTATTTCAGGTTTAGTTAAGGCTTAGTTAAGGTTTAGTTAAGGTTATGGAACCCTGCAAGCATCTGAATATGTTTAGGGGGAGACATATGCAGATCCTTGCTTTAGATGGGTTCCATTTTGTTTTGATGTATGTCTAACCAGAAACACACTTTTTGTTTTTCCTTTGTTAATTAGGACTTGAGAAGCGGATCTCGAATCAACTTTTACTCCGTGGATGATGTCGTGATAGACCTGATGATCCAGTGACAACAACTAGTTGTCTTGTGGGCAAGTATTTTCTGTCTTTACATGCTGTCGCGGCATGCTAGCTCCAATTTACGTGTCAAAATAAGAGCCAGTTCCACCATCAAATATTGTTTTTATGTTGCATGTTGACCTGTGTTTGGTGTTCACTAAGCTTGTGCGTAGAAACTATTGAATCATCTATGTCACATGATTTCTGGTCATGTGATTAAAAATTTCGAGCGAAACTGGTATTTGAATTTGTTGGCATTTTGAATTATTAATGCAAATTATTGACATTGCAACAAAACATGGATTTTGGCCCTGAGGAAAACGTTTTCATTCAGTGACCAAAGTTTATGTTTTTCCGATAAAATCGTTAATATTTGTACACAATGTGATGTACAAAATGCGACATTGCCAACTCTTTGTAGTCATGTTGAACCAGACACAAGTAGTACCACTTCATCATTTAACTTTACTTGAGGGTGGATCTGTCTGTCGGCGTCAGTTCTTATTCAAGCATGGATATCCTGTTCGTTGTTCAATGTTTTCTTTTTACCTATTTTTACATAATTTTGAGTCACATGAATATTTGATTGTAAAGGTACATTTGTACAAAGTCTTTCCAAATTTGCCATTATAATAAAAATAAGAACTGAGGACAAGACTTGAATTAATTGAAACATCAATTGGATACAGCGTGCTGAAATCACATCAGTCATCAAGAGATCAGAATTTTTTTTTAAGATAAGAATTCTAAAGGGACTCTGGATTTATTTTTTTTTAAGCAAAACAAATTTTTTTTCCCTTGACTTGTGAGAAAGCTGATGGTGACAGAATGCAAAATTTTATTTTTTCATCTTTTTCAATTTTTTTTTTTGATGATTCACACAGCAGTGTGACGTAATGCTCAAATGGCAGTCTCGTTGTATGAGTACAAAAAAAAGGGAAATTCTTGTTACCGAATCAGTTGACTCTTGGTTAAGTTTTATGAAAGGTTTTGAAAATATTTGACCAACTTTCTGGCCCGATATTTGACAAGTTTAAAACACAAGGATGGATGGGACTAACACATACATGTTTGTTTTGGTGCATTTTACCTGTGTTTTGTACATATTATTATATATTTGTTTTGTTAATCTGTGTTTTAAAGATATCGGGCCAGGCTTAAACAAAATTTTTAATATAATTAACCAGAGGTTTCCTTCATAATATTTCACAAAGCACTTGATAGATTTATTCTTTTCAGTTTAAATGATCTAAATGATTCATTGTATTTTCATACACCCACATTTTAATGGGGTACTTGACATTTGAGACAACAAAAATGACATTGCTTCAAAACTTGAAAATGAAACCCTTGTGCTATAGTATTATTTTTCAGATGATGTCACAAAGCATCATGGAATTTCAGCATAGAATTATCTCGTAAGTACACGAAGTCCTGTTTAGACAGGAAATATTGAGCTCTGGGTGCTCTTTCTTATGATTTTTCGTATGTCGTTTTAGGCCATCCATATGTAAGTTCTCAAGAATTGGTTGTCCATGGCGTGGTCCATTCCATGAAGTATGGGAGCACGAGCAGGCATGTAAACATCCACTAAAGACAGGTGCTGAGATAATGGATTCCATGAAAGCTATTGACATGAAACAACAGGAAGAAAAGAAAATATACAACTCTATATTTAGTCTTCTGTCACTAGAGAAAATAACATTTAATGGCGAGTTTATTTTATATATGCCCATACTGAAATGTTGTCATATTGTGGGCAGGTGGTTCGTACGTCAGGCGTCCACAAGTGCTTGTGGAAGCTCTAGAGGCTAAAATTAATATCAAATTGACTTTAGATTTATACACAGTGTTTATGGTCCTGAGGCTATGAAGCCTATTGATTTTCAACATTTCAGATAATTACTGCTGGTGTTATGGCCCTTGAACATTTTGAAAAATCTCGTAGCCACTCTAGAGGCTAAAGTTAATATCCAATTGACTTCAAATTTATACACAGTGTTTAAGGACATGATATTCATGATATTAAATGTTTTGTACCACTGAACATTAGCATGTGGCAGAGCTAGAAGCCAAACAAATTCTAATGATTTCTGATAATTACTTAATTGTGTTGTAAATGTTTTCATTACCGTCAAAAGAAAAAATATGCGACATCCCTTGCTGACTGCTCGCCGTGCTCGGATGACTTATCTGCCATGAGAGTATGTTTCGTTGCCTGGCAACCTATCTCTATTTGTTAATATAGGCAGTGCAAGATAACTTTATATATTTGTCAAAGGGGGGGTTGGATGGCTGAATGGTTAGCGTGCGCGCGCTGTATCACAAAGTCGGTCATTGAGTCGACTGGCGTGGTTTCGAATCCCCGGTTGTACGTGACAAGGAGTAGGGTCGCCTGTCCAACCTCGTGGGTTTTCTCCGGGTCCTCCGGTTTCCTCCCACTGCTAAAGACCCCTATGCGCAAGCAAATTATTGAAATAAATTTAAACCATATGTTAGTCCCGAAATGACCTAGTTTGTGTCGAGTGGACGTTAAACCCCATTTCTCTCTCTCTCTCTATTTGTCAAAGATGGATGGATCTCCTTGTTTTATTGTTACCCCATATTTCTTCTACAAATCATCGCTAATGATGTCCCCTGTTACTTTTTTCAGATTTGCAGTTAAAGCCATATCGTACTGATGACTTCATAGCCAAGCTGTTCTACGAAACAAGTCGATTTTCTGCATTTAATCATCAGTGGGTTATCAAGGCCAGGGCCAATCAAGACCAAAAATATCCGACACAAACTTGTCTTCGTTCTCTAACCTATCAACTCATCCTTAAAACTAAAATAACTAATCCCCTCAGGTTACACTTCCTCGTATTAAAGGGTCCACATAGCGAAACTAAAGTTACACCCCAAATACACGAACACGAGTTCTCCACAGAAAACACAGATTCAGAAAGTAAAGAATTCCCGTTAGTCGATGCGAATGAGTGTAATAAAATGTTAGCTGGTAAAACTATAAACTTTAGAGTAATATTATTTCAAGTAAACCAATAATTCCTTTAGATATAATGTAAAAAATTATTCTCACTTTGCCGGCATAATGCATTTATATTGATTTTAGATATGGTGACTAATAATTGGTTCAATAATACAACCTCCATTGCACAGACTTGTAGGAAATTGGTTTTTTTACTACCAGCACAACTATAATTTTGATGGTTGCAATGCATTTTATGTAGTAGAAAAGGAAAATTGAAATCATTTGGAATTGGATTTCAATTTGAAGTCATTTGGAATTGAATATTAACTTGAAATCCTTTGGAATTGGATTTTAACTTGAAATCAATCGGAAGTGGATTGTAACTTGAAATCACTTGGAATTGGATTGTAACTTGAAATCACTTGGAATTGGATTGTAACTTGAAATATTTGGAATTGGTATAAGGCTGAGGAATGTCTTCAAAAGCCCATTTGGCATTTTTGTGTAGTTCAATCATTGGCTAAATACCTTTTTGGTTGAATTCTTTAGTTATGAGAAATTGAACCCAGAATAAGTTTTACTGTATGATGAAACTGGTTGTATTATTGTTACTGATCTGACATGAGTTTCTAGATAATTCACCATGCTTCCTAGCGTAAAACCAAGATATCACTATTCTCAGTAAGTTCTTCTATTCTGATGCTCACTAGGCTATTTTTCTTTTACACTAAATAAGATGCTTAGTAGATTACAATCTAATTGATAATAGTGTGAAATCCTAGGCTTCCTTATTTTTATGCGATTGTCACCGATTGTTATTTTTATGCGATTGTCACCGATTGTTATTTTTATAGTATCAACCACTCAAGTTTTTGTTATAGAGTTGTGATACAAGTTTTATACTATATTTATATTGTTAATATATGGAATTGAGGATTTTGCCAAAGTTCTTTTAATCATGTTTTAATGCATCCTTACCTTAAGGATGACAGAAGTGTTTGTATTTTGAGGAAGTAGAGATGGGTAGGAAGTTGAAACTAGAGGGTTACCATTGTTATCAAAGCACAGTGCAGATGAAAGTTAGTTTCTCTCTATGAAATGGCCTCCTGGTCCAAGTTAAGGGGGCTTATTGCAACTGAAAGCAACTGGCGTTTCGGCAACTGGGAGCAACTGGAAGCAACTAGTTGCAGTCAGTTGCACATGTTCAACTCTCTGCAACTTGCTCCAACTAGCAGCAACTAGTTGCAGTCAACATGAGCATTCTTGCAACTGGAGTCAACTCATTTCCACGGAAATAACATCACTTGATAAGAGACGTGTCATGTGACTTTATAAATAAGCAAATGTTGATGATGTCGACAATAATCTAATAGAATTGTAGCAAGATTGACCTTGCCTTTGGGTTGCTTCTTCTAAGTTATTCGCCATTTTGTTGATCACATGATGAATAAATTAACAGTCACATGTTAAGTGTGATCGCTATCAGTTGCGAGACGACATAAGCACTCCGAATTCAGTTGCACCCAGTTGTCCTCAGTTGCTGATGTGATCGACATAAGCACTCTTGCAACTGACTGCAATTAGTTGCTTTGGGTTGCAAAGTCGACATAAGCCCTGTTTAAGAATCATGCCATTATCCGATAATTATTGAGAGTGACAAAGTGTTCAATAGTTCTGCTAGTGCAGTAAGTGCACTGGGCAGATTGGTGTAAATGTTATGTTCAGATCCAAGTAAAATGTACACCAGTTCTGAGTTCATGAGAAATAAAATTGCTTTGAAAAATTGCTTTGTATGGACATCAGAGGGTTAATTTCGGTACGATTGACGATTGATAGTTAGGATTATGAATTGTTAGTGGATAATTTGTCGTTTTATGATAAATTTTATTGATTGTTTTTGTTAAAAAAGCTAAATAAAACATGTTATACATGTTGATAATCACTGTACAGTATTGCAAATAGGGGAAGAAATTCCTTAAATCTTGCCGTTTCAACGCTTACGAAATTTTGGAAGCAATCTCCTTAGTTTCTGTTACTATTGGACTTATTTAGGGTGTTGTCTATGGGCTGACAGAAAGTCGTCTGAGCTATATGCATTATTATAGCTGTTTCTAAAAGAATTGAGGTCAGGTGGAAATGTTAGAGAATAATGTTTAATTTATATTGAAGATTATCAGGAATTTATTTTACATTAGTAGTTTGTAGTTAATGTAGTTATAGAATATACAAATCAATTATGTCTTTAAAAAGTTGTAGCTTGAATCTGGTACTTTTTAATGTTTAATGAAAAGAAAAAAATCAAGAGCAGTTATCTCAACAAAACATTTCAAGATTTAATATGAAATACTCTATGATGTAACTTGTAGTCAATGGTTTAGTGTAGCCTCTTATTATATGCATTTGATAGTATAGTCATAGTCATCTTCAATAGAAGGCTTGATCTCGCTTTAACTACGTACATCTTATCAAGGCCTTCACGTAATACCCTGCATATTTTGGCACTAATTTCGATTTGGTACAAGCCCAGCTTGTGAGCCTATCAGATTCCTCGTTGTGAATACCAAGTCTTGCGCTTTCAAGCTAAAATGTCTGTGATAATCGAGTTGCAAAGTTCAAGGTTCATTCAATGTCAAGGTTTCCGTGGAGGTCGCGATGTCTCAACCTCTGATTGAACGCTACTGCCCATGTGTCTGTAGATAACACAGCTATAAGTTCTGGAATTGTGAAGTAAACAAGCAACGTCCAGATGTTGTAAAACTCGCAGTCGTTGCTTCAGGAACATGAATATTATGTATCATTTAATTCAGTCCGTGGACTGAAATACTTACTAACATGATTATTATCCTTGATTATCACTAAAGGTTCAAACAAGAAATTTGGATGCATTATGACTAAGATTTATTGGTAGAATTAAATCTGGTCACTCATTAAACTTTTAATAAAACAAGAGGGAGTACCAGTAGAAAGCAAGTGGAAAGTATAACATAAAAGAAATATACTGTATATTATTAAAATTTACCTCTTAGATAACGAAAATATCCGGCATCTACAATATAGCTCGGGCATTATCTCTTTTTAAGTTTGTCATATTTAAGGATATTGTTTTAAATTATTAGTAATGTATGAATTTATATACAAATTAACATTTTAATATTTGTACAATTTAGGAGGAAAAAGGCTATTTTCTTTTCACTAATTTATATATTGTAACTAAGCTTATATTTTGAATAATTTATTTATGATTGTAGATTTTAATTGATCAGTATCCACGAGTATTGTAATTTTATTGTAATTATTAATATATTTTATTAAATTATATTAAATTATTATGCTTGTATTGTAGATACAGTAAAAAAATTTAAGAAGCACATTGGTCTTCTTCCTGGGAAAAGAGCTACATTTATTCTGCCTAAAATTTGTACCTGAAATTCAGTATGGAAAGCAACTTTGTTGACCATTTAATTTAACTTTTTTAATGACTTAATTTTGAATTTACATGAAATTTTAATCAATTTTTCAAATTTATATAAAATTAAAGACCAAAAATATTTGGAATTTTTCTGAATACAAATCTGAATGGGTAGAAATTTTAATCAATTTTACAAATTGATATAAAATTAAAAACAATTTTTTTTTTTCGGAACACAAATCAGAATGGGTAGAAACTTGTAGATGTTTTTCCAGGAAGGTAACAATGACTGTTTATCAGAATTATACTGTATGTTAAAAGAGTGTAGATCACTATACAGCCACCCATGGAGAAACAGTAATTTTGTATATATTTACATTTAAACTTCTAGGATAAAGAAAAAATGTTCATTAAAATATTAAATTTACACCGTGTGTGTTACTTTCTGTATGAAAGAGAGAGAGAGATGGGGTTTAACGTCCACTCAACAAAAACTAGGTCATTTTGGGACTAATGTGGTTCAATTTTATTCCAATAATTCGCTTGTTCATAGGAGTCTTTAGCAGTGGGAGGGACCCGGAGAAAACCCACAAGGTTGGACAGGCGACCCTACTCCTTGTAACGTACAACCGGGGATTCGAAACCCAAGATTGGACAGGCAATCCTTGTCACGTACCAGTGGGGAAATGAAACCACGCCACTTCACTCAATTTACAGACCTTAATGTGTTAACCCACTAGCCCACCCAGGCCCTCTATCCTGCACAACCGACAAGGGGGGAAACCACACCAGAAAATCCTGATCAACTTTCTCGGCCAACGCAGGGATTGAACATGGGACCCCCAGATTAGAGAGTCAACATCTTACCCGCAACGTCTTACATGCAAATACAAGCAAATATCATTAAATACAGCCTTTGAATAAACTATGGTTGTATTCAGTGGCTTGGAAATGTACTACTTTTGTCGAGAATGTCACTTTCAGAATTACATCAAAATGTAATGACGTCATTACTAGGCAACAACAATTTTTGTAAAAAAAAGAAAGAAAAAAGGGCGGAACCTATGATGAATTTTAACGTTATTGGTGATGATTTTTTTTTTGGATAATCTGGATAGTACAGTGTATTTTAAGATTTGGATGTAGTTATAGAATAAAAACAGAACTCAATGACCAATGAATACTGCTCAGGTTATTCAATGGTTCACTCGAGTGTATCCCTGCTGCATTCCACTCGATATGTGCAGGGATACACTCTCTTAATCCATTGAATAACCCGAGCGATATTAAATGGTCATTGAGTTCTATCTATATATAGACAGGTCATTCCCTATTGTGTAATATAATATACAGACAGGTTATTCCCAACTATGCAATATAATACAGAAATCAATGGTTTATAAATACTGCGATTTTATTTACATGATTTGTTAAAGTGCTATAAGTCATCTATTTGACTAACATTTAGTCAGTTGTCAGCATCTGGTGTTAACAAACAATCGGCAATTTCCTCCTTCATCTTCTCCCTGAAATAAAATTTATAAAGAAACATAAAAATGCTAAAAATGATTTAACTTGACTGCAACGGACAAGTTTATGAATTTACATTCTACTTTTCTGCTTCGACTGGGCTAATGATGAAACTTACGCTATACAGTGTGCTATGAGGGAAATTTTGCCCAGTGAGCGGGACTACGGCCTACTCTTATTTCTAATCCAACTGTCAAGGGTTTTTACGTGCACACCAATATGTACATGGGACCTCTTTTTTGTCCCATTCAAATGACTATACCTTGCCCTCCAATGTTGACTCACTGAGCCACCGTGACTCCCATAATAAAATGAAATCTGGGGATAAGACTTACCTATTTAATATCATCACTGGTGGTATATTATTCACATCTTTCTAGGAAAATAAAATAATTCAACATAAAATAACAACAACCATATCTAACATGGAAATTATACAGAGGAAGATATTTTGCTGACATCTGTATATAGTTAAATCTTTTGGTGGTTGAAATTGCTCTCTAGCTATCTACCATCAGTTTATGTCCAAACCAGACTTACATAGGAATAAATATAAATCTATTCTAGACATCTAGGTTCGATCAGAAACATCTGTATCTGACCAATAAGTGAACAAAACTACAAAAATACAAAATATTGCAACCTTACATTTAGACTAAAAGCCATGTTATGTTAAAAATAATCTTCCAGTATTTAATTGCCAAACAACTTCCATGGTAAATGATATGTTTCCAAAATGTTTTTATCTTAGGATATTTTAAAAATATGTAATTAACAAGTACCACTGTACTGTAAACCAGGAATTGAGTATGTCATCATCAACTCATCACAGCCATCTTTGATATCAGAAATCAAAGTCTGTCAATCAATGCACAATTGTCCAAGGAGAGAGAGAGAGAGAGAGAAATGGGGTTTAACGTCCACTCGATACAAACTAAGAACTAAGCCATTTCGAGACTAACATATGGTTTAATTTTATTTCAATAATTCGCTTGCGCGTAGAGGTCTTTAGCAGTGGGAGAAAACCGGAGGACACGGAGAAAACCAACGAGGTTGGACAGGCGACCCTACTCCTTGCCACGTATTACCGGCTATTCGAAACTACGCCAGTTGACTCAATGACAGGCCGCATGATACAGCGTTCGGCCATCCAACCCCCCCAATTGTCCAAGGAACAAGCATGCCAAGTTTTATGTCGAACATAAATTGGCGGAGCCTTAGACTTTCTTCAAAGAGTGTCCTCCCCATGAAGAACAACAAGATGAATAGTTTCTGGTCCCAAAATATTTAAAAATATTATCATACCATTTCTGAAAGTGTTATTCTACAGCCATAACATAAATTCTTGTCAAATTTCTTCCTAAAATTAAATCAACATTTATTAAATATAATTTTTATTGATAACGCTGGATATTATTGCGTATTTTATGACAGTGTGATACAGCAATAAATACATTAATTCAATAGTTATTAAATATTTTATTGATAACACTGAATATTATTGCGTATTTTATGTATGGAGTATGACAATATGATACCGTAATAGATACATTAATGTTTAATTTCACTTTATCACGGGAGCCAAGGTGGCTCAGTGAATAGGATATCCATAGATTTACCCAAAACAACCCATTTACTTCCATTTCCATTCACAATTTGAATATTTGAAGGAATACAATATCCCTCAATGCAACCAGTTAAAAAATTTTTTTTAATAAAACAAAGAGTACCTGAGCTGAGAGGAATGGCTGCCGTCATTTGTTGTATGGATGTGTTCAGGTTCACCGATTAATTCAGCAGACGGACGACCTTCTTTAGATAATTTCTGTGAAAACTCAACAGCAACCAGAGCAGATGCTTGACCAACATCTGTATCCAATGGTGACTTAAATTATCAAAATATTCAAATTGATTAATTTCCAAAAGTAAACATTCTAAATCAGATTATTTTGCTCCTATCTTAAACTATAGAGTTTACGTTCATAAACAGTTAAATCTGAAAAATATTGAAACAATCACTTCAGGCTATTTAAAGTTGACATTGCAATTTTAATTGGTTTCTTTTCATTTCCCATTGCCAGCTTTAACTGTCTAGGACAAATAAAGTAATAATAATCCTGATATCTTTTTCATTCAAGTCATCATTCCAAATTATCGCCAAAATCAAATTTTAATTGGAACTTGCAACTTTAATGACCGACAACGTGAGACCTGTTTCACATTCTTTATGAAAGTTTACTTTTATTCTCTGTCCTTAATTACATAAGAACAAGTCTATTTTTATACTGCAATGTCCTTAATTACATAGTAACAAGTCTTTCGAGATATATATGAACAATCACACTTGTTGTGCCTTTAATATTATATCTTCCCTGGGGATATGTATAGTAAGAACAGGAGGACCACACTACACACAAATAAAACCCCAAAAAAACACAAACTACACAGACATTGGAAGCAATAAACAATCAATATCAAATCTGGGGGCCAGCGGTAAGAGTCCACGGGGCTGTACAGTCCCAGGCTTTTAAAAATCGGGCTTCAATTAAAATGTTGTTTGTTAGTTGTATTTTACGTCCGCTTCCACCGACTTGATATCGCAGACACTTAAAATGAACAACAGTCTTAATTAATGTTATGTTTTGATTGTTAAATTGTTTTTACTCATGGATGTACTATAAATGTATGGTTATTATTCATTATTGATCATTGCTTGATAAAGATACCTGTAAGAGTATTGAAACGTTGCATGTAACAAGCCAACAGTGAGGCTGATGTCCCCCGCCGAAATAGGAAAATAATTAGAGGACACATATAAATTTATCACAAATAAGCGGAACGGACAGACAGACAAACAGACAGACGGACGAACCCATTTTAATAGTTCCCTGCTTTCTTCGAAAGGCGGGGGACAATCAAAGTAGGAGAGTTATTGTTTTCCAAAGTCTCGACCAATCAAATTGCGTATCGCTCTGCTTACCCTGAGCAGAAAATGCTCATTATCAAACTTAGTCAAGGTATTACTGTAATGAAACTATACACCAAGTTTCATCAATCTCACTTAATTAGAACTAAAGTTATCGTGTCCCAAAGCATCAACCAATCAAATTGCTTATCTCTGCTTACCCTAAGCGGAAAATGCTCATCTTCGAACTCCATCAAGGCATTGACCTAATCAACACATACACCAAGTTTGAACATTCTAGCTCAATTAGGAAGAGAGTTATCGTGCCCCAAAGTATCAACCAATCAAATTGCTTATCTCTGCTTACCCTAAGCGGAAAATGCTCATCTTCGAACTCCATCAAGGCATTGACCTAATAAACACATACACCAAGTTTGAACATTCTAGCTCAATTAAAAGTTATCGTGTCCCAAAGCATCAACCAATCAAATTGCTTATCTCTGCTTACCCTAAGCGGAAAATGCTCATCTTCGAACTCCATCAAGGCATTGACCTTATCAACACATACACCAAGTTTGAACATTCTAGCCCAATTAGGAAGAGAGTTATCGTGTCCCAAAGCATCAACCAATCAAATTGCTTATCTCTGCTTAACCTAAGCGGAAAATGCTCATCTTCGAACTCCATCAAGGCATTGACCTAATAAACACATACACCAAGTTTGAACATTCTAGCTCAATTAGGAAGAGACGGACGGACGGACGGACGGACGGACGGACGGACGGACGGACGGACGGACGGACGGACGGACGGACGGACGGACGGACGGACAGACAGACAGACAGACAGACAGACAGACAGACAGACAGACGGACGAACCCATTTTAATAGTCCCCTGCTTTCTTCGAAAGGCGGGGGACAATAAACTAAGAAGTAGTAAATCCATAAAGTTGTGTTATTTTGAACAAAACAATGATTAACAAGAAAGATGCAACAATGCATCTGTTATTGACAATGCTCGTCTTCTCTTGAATGACGTTTCTTGATGGCGATAGTCGGCAAGTTGATGTTATGAATTGGAATTTCAAAGAATTAACAATAATAAAGGCGATAATCTGGGTAAAATTTTAGTAAATGTTAAAGAGAGAGAGAGAGAGAAATGGGGTTTAAGTTCCACTCGACACAAATTAGGTCATTTCGGGACTAACATATGGTTTAATTTTATTTACATAATTCTCTTGCGCGTAGGGGTCTTTAGCAGTGGGAGGAAACCGGAGGACCCGGAGAAAACCCACATGGTTAGTAAACGTTAAACATTAATAAATAAGTTGTAGTTAGCAAACAGGTATATAATTGTACCGTCTGTACTGTATTCGTGTATTGTTTATTCTGTCAGTGTTTTGTTCTACAGTTATAGTGTATTTCAAAGTATGCAGGGAAAAAACCCACGTCCGATTTAAAGTCACAGTTTGAAAAAACACAAATATAGAATACCTGACAGAATGTACAAATATCTTTATATCCATTTTCTTCAATGCCCAACTTTTCACCAGTTCTGTAGGAAAAAAACCCATAAATTACACACTCTCTTGTCGATTTGAATGTCGATTTCGTGTATGTGGCAAACAAAGCAGATAAAATATAAAGAGATGTGATTCTTTGACAATTTTATAATCTATCCTGTTTTATATCTTTTATCTTCTTTTAAATGGGGTTTAGCCTCCACTCGAGACAAACTAGGTATTTCAGGACTAATGTATGTATGGTTCAATTTTATTTCAATAAACTACTTGCACGTATTGGTCTTAAGCAGTAGATTCTATCTAATATTTAATCAATTCTAACTAATAGCAAATCTAATCACAAAGTAAAGATGGCACCACACGGTTAACCATATCTTTGTATAAATCTTTTAGTGTAAAAATTTTGCATTTGAAATTATTTAGAAGATCCGTGGAGTGGATATGAAATGGTCTACTCTTACATCGAATTCGAACTGTCCGGGGATCTTTCATGTGCATGCCATTGTGTACACAGGACCTCATTTTTCTGTCCGTTCCTAACAACTAGACACTGTCCTTGCCAGGCCACATGTCCTGTACTACTGACCCGTGGAGTGGAAAAAGTTAGGAATACAGTATGGTGTGAACATTAAGAAATATATTTTTACCTGACAATATTACTAACAGTTGATAAATAATCAGCTTGTAATCCTGTTACAAAGTTCTCTGTTAATCTGTCTATACTACTACCATAGGATCCCTAAAATATACATTATACATGTTAATCTGTCTACAGTAATACCATAGGATCCCTAAAATATACATTATACACATCAATCTGTCTACAGTACTACCATAGGATCCCTTAAATATACATGTATCTAGTGTTCTTAATCCATTTTGAAATGAAACGGTTAGAATTGGGTCAAAAGAGGTCCTGGTAGAAAATAGGGTAATAATAAGCTCCCATTCCTTTTAATATAACCGACTTTTACAAAAATAATTCTTAGTAATTTGTTATGTAGAATATCCTATTCTGAATAGGCTAATATATGATTAACACAAAAAAAAATGGCAAACAGGTACACCTTCTCAAAATTTTCCATATTTAATTTACGTCCTGCTTCAAGTTCAGTTCAATAATATCCTGAATAAATGACTGTGTTACTTCTCACATAGATGATCAGACATTTTATACTAATGCTTTTAATATGTACAGTTACCTACAGTCAGTTAATAATTACAAATACACTGCTACCGGACGGTACACAAAATTTGAGACAAATCTGTCAAGCCATTACTGAGACATAAACGACAAAGTCAATTTATGAGGCGTACACATTTTGAATATGATATTACGCAACAATAATTACATATATTTAGTGATCATAATGATGATGCCTCTTTAAGGATGAGATGTATTATGTACTTGCTAAATCTGACTATTGCTTGTCTTTTGTCTGACTTTAAATGTTACATAAATTATTAATTACACATTTATTCACATGACAAGCCCATAATCTACTTTCTAGGTCATCGGATGGATTAAATATTAAATGGATTAGAACACCTTCACAATTTAATAAATTAACGATAAAATGGATAACCAAGACTTTGCTTATTATCGCAGCAATGTTACTTGACAATCAAAATTATCTTGTCAAAACTTTAAACACTCATAACTTTTCTCAGAATAAAGTAATTTGACTGAAATTTTCAATATATTTATTTTTCATTATCTATTTTTAAACTATAATAACAAGAACATCCAACCCTTTATCTAAATCTTACATAATGCATCTTTAATATAATCCTATATTATCGGGATATCCACACTTTAAATTAAAGCCAGAGGGGTTGGATGGCTGAATGGTTAGCATGTGCGTGCTGTATCATAAGGTCTGTCATTGAGTCAACTGGCATGGTTTTGATTTCCTGGTCGTACGTGACAAGGAGTAGGGTCGTCTGTTCAACTTTGTAGGTTTTTCCCGGGTCATCCGGTTTCCTCCAACTGCTAAAGACCCCAACGTGCAATCGAATTATTGAAATAAAAATGAAATGATCTAGTTTGTGTCGAGTGAACGTTAAACCCCATTTCTCTCTCCCTCTCTTAAATTAAAGCCATACTGTCTGAATAATTATTCACCTTTGTTGTTAAAGTTGGTATGAAAACTGGATGTAAATCATTCATTTGATCATAAACAGCAACTTCTTTTATAGATAAATCTCTACAAATATAAAACATAATAATATAATATTAAGACTCTTTCAACAAAAGTTGCCTGAAGCATTCTTACTTAAAGGCTTGGTGCGTCATTTGCATTTTTTTTTTTTTTTTTAGTCTGCGATATCACCTCGGTGGAAGCGGACGTAAAATACAACTAACTCATCATTTGCATTTTCGCTAAAATATCAAATTTTTCACGGCTTAGTCCAAGGTAAATATGTACTCAGATTGATTACTTACAGTTAATAAAGAAAACAAATCAAAATACTGATGCTAGATAATCTCCCAGCTTGGATTTAAACAGGTTTCTCAGCTACCAATAAAACATAGCAAGCAGTATAGATCAATGAAATTTTAATTTATCATAACTTTGTAAATACAGAAAGGAATTGGACCATTTTTATTTAATACTTCTATTAGAGATTAACCTTTCACAACATTGTAGTTTGCAAGGACTCCTATAGTGCTAAATAAAGCATCAAGCCTTTATGATTTTAAATTTGTTTTGAAAAGATAAATGGTTTTGTGTTTCAATAGGCTTAACAAATCCCCAGCTCATAAACTCGTATACTTTATTGTCTTCTTAATCTGAGGATCTCGTATAAATCTATTTCCAAACTTCTATAAAATGTTATATATAGCCTCAAAGTGTCAGATAGCCAATAATCATGTACATTTGGTAGGATCCAATGCTTACTATTCATGGCAATATTTAATGTTCAAGGCAATATTGACATTTCATGGCAATATCTAAAGTTCAAAGCAATATTGATATTTCATGGCAATATCTAAAGTATATGGCAATATTTAATGTATATGGCAATCTTTAATGCTCATTACAAAATTATAGCTAGCAATCTACCTTATTGGACGTAATATCATCATGTCTTTATATCTACTATCATAAAAACCCTGAAATATATCAATTGAATCTTAAATAAAAACTTACAGCCATTTGAGTATAGTAATTACATACTTGGACATGATCGTTTTAATGTGTCATTTTTATACTAGTACCTGTACCTGTCATTTTGTCCAGCACTGATTTGTCTTTTTTATTAATACATGTCCGACACTAAGTTGAAAATGTCAGGTACTATGTCATTAATACATCTATAACTGTTATTTCCAGGCATGGTTGTTTAACTGGTAAAATGGTTGTTTCGCGACACTCGTAAAATGGTTGCCTTGTGGCAGTGCTAAAATGGTTGTTATGTTGCAAAAAATAATTCAAGTTAGATACTATTTCATAAGATATTTGACTTCCACGACCCTGTGCAATGTCATTAATACATCTATAACTGTTATTTCCAGGCATGGTTGTTTAACTGGTAAAATGGTTGTTTCGCGACACTCGTAAAATGGTTGCCTTGTGGCAGTGCTAAAATGGTTGTTATGTTGCAAAAAATAATTCAAGTTAGATACCGTTTCATAAGATACTTGACTTCCACGACCCTGTGCAATATCACTGAGGATATTTACTGCCAGTCTAGAATTGGTATCTGCAGTCATAATTTTACTATAACCCATCTGTTTCGCAATTGATAATATCAACTGAGTCCTGTAAAAAACACAATCCATAACTAGGTTTGAGAAGTAATGAAAGGGTGTATAGTCCTATGGATGGGACAAAATAATGAGGTCCTGCATACAAATTTGTAGCACACATTAATCAACCCTTGTTTGTCGGATTACGCAGAAGAGCAGATAAAATGCCACTCTAGAGGCCAAATACTTCTTATCACATTGCAAACGTAAAATGAGATGGGTTTAACGTCCTACTGTTTTTCTCCGACAGAGCTAATAAAGACGGACATCGCAAACGTAACCAAAGAAACATAGGATAAGTTACTGTATGTAAGTCTTATAAAAATAAGAGCAAGTATGTATACCATCTGCAAGAAAATGTTCTTATCATCAGTGTGGTGACATGTTCATATTCATTTTATTTATGGCATCGTTTAATATTTTAGGATGTTTCTAATGCAATATATTTATTATAAACTCAACTAACATTTCCACATAATAAAAGAAAACAACAATGATAAAAGTAACTATGTGTCATTTGCATTTTTTGGAAAACATCAAATTTCTTACTACTTGCACTAATATGTTCTCAGACTGAGTAATTAATATTTAATTACTAAAACAAAATCAAAATACCAATGGTAGATTATCTCCTGGCTTAGATTCAATCAGATTAAAAACAGGCCCATCAATTTTTGATTCAAGACAGCATAGATGAATGGAATTTTCAATTCGTCATATTATGTGACCAGTGACTCAAATATTATTTTTTACCCCATGTGACTCATTTGGCCGTCCCCGGTCACATATCTTTGTAAATACTGAACAGAATTGAAACCATTTTTGGACTGATATGCCTATAAAAGTTTCAAGTGATTCATATAGCACTAAAATGATGCTCAGACTCTTAAAAAAGAAAAGTATTTTTTAAAAATGTAATGGAAGAAATAGAAGATAACCTCAATGTTTTTATAAAATCTTCTTTTGCTGTTAAACTTTTCATTGATGACAAGACGTCTGTAAATTCAGCCATCTTGTGTTGACAATGACTCATCAATTTATCTTGTTCATCAAGTTGTATGTATAATGGTGGAGAGTCTGGTGTTAAACCTGATATATTTAAACCCTGATAATAAATACAACAAATACATATACCATTTCTCAATAATGTTAATACATAATTTAAATCCTAAATCATATCTAAACTGCTAACAGAATATCAGACAGTTTGGGAGAGTACTGACATGTCTTAAGCCTCATTATGATGTGGTTTTCCCTTTTATAGATACATGAATATTCATACCAAGGCCTAGCATCAGCAAAAAAATTGTTATTGTCACAAAATATATATCAACACAGACTTTCTGTCTGTATGTGGGAGTCATGGTGACTGAGTGAGTAGGGCGCTGACTCACCAACTTGCAGTCCTGGGATTTTCTGGCATGGTTTCCCCATGTCAGTGGTACAGGATAGAGGGCCTGGCAAGGAAATGAAACTGGGTTTAATGTACACTTTTCTGCTCCATCCCCGATTAGAGAGAAGTTTCCACTATTTCGAATTCCAACTGTCAAGGTTTATTTTACATGCATGCCAATGTGTACTCCGGACCTCAGTTTTTTGTACCCATACACCCGCACAACTAATAAGAGAAAACCATGTTGTAAACATCCTGAAGAATGTTCTTAGCCAATACTGAGATTGAACTAACCAGCACCTATGTCACAGAATCATAGCTTACTTTTAAAGGGACAATAACACTCTTGCTGGCTTGACAGCTCCAGAAAATAAAAAATAGCCTTATTCTAAGTACTAGATGTGTTAGTGTCCTACCTGTTGTGTAAATTATCCATTAAATCCTATTTTACTTGTCCAAAGGGTTCAAAAATATTTTTAAATCCAAGTCACATTTGAAAAGCTTTACGCCAGGCTTTTCAAATTATTTAGTTGAATTTTTCCATTTTTTTAAATTAGGTGTGTTAAGATGAAATTTGTATCATCAACTAATTGGAATATTGTAAAATAGTACAATTTGTTGACCAGAATAAAGATTGGGACATATTATTCAGTTACAACAAGAGTGGTATTGAGCCATTAAAAAATTAGAGAAAAACAGTATATTTCGTGTTGTTACATGTATATTCCTGGACAGTTTGCAACCTAGACTGTACGGATCCTGTGAATAGCTTTCTGTATTGTAGAACAGTTTACTATTTTCAGGGCACCACAAATTCACATGATTCCCCATCCCCTTTAAATAATTGAAATTAAAAATAACCTGTTCTATAGAAGATATGTAACCTTGGTAACCAGTTGTTTTTATTCTTTCACAAATCTTCATTAAATTTTCTTTTTTTATTTCAGCTGATAAATCAAGACTTGCTGACTCTAAAATTTCAAATGAACAAAGAAAAAAATGATAAAAATTAAACATGCATTATGCAAGAGCAAAATCTGCTTATTACAAGTCTTTCTTTAGGCCTGAAATGTTATCTAAATTATCAATTAGACATTAATTAACTTATCCAGACCATAATAAACTCTCGATGCCAAGGCTAGCCTTCGATGTTGGCTGGATTATATTCCTATATGCTGCTTAACACCCATTGATAATTAAATCAAAACAGTGGATAATTGAGACTATGCTGTTTATATTAATGATTTTAGTAATGATGACCGAGACTATGCGAAAATTTCAACTGCTTCGTTCTCGGCTCATAGTGGATCAAATTGACTGAAATTTTCAGCAAATTACCGTTACACTATCTAGTTTTTAACTATTATAGCGAGAACTGCCATCTCTTTATTTTATCTCCCATAAAGTATCTTTAATTAATATAACTAAACAAGATCTCTTCGATTTGGGTACAAAATAAAATTGTTGATTTCATTCAATTTACTTTTCTTTTTTCAGCTGATAAATTTTATAAAAATTATAAATTATGATAAAAATTAATTAAAATTACTAAATTAGACCTCTTAAATTTGTGTAAAAAATATTGTTGATTTCATTGAATTTTATATATGTTGATTTGTTTTGAGGGTTATAATCTGCCTTCATTGAAAATTTTAAGTCTTTACACAAAGCCAGTGTTGAGAAATAACCCATTTGGTTATCCATTGTCGAACCCAAATAATTCACAATTAGTAAACAAGCTGACTTCGGTTTAATCTTTTAGAATCTGTCCCATCAGGCCATCACTAATCAGAATAATACATCAGATTAACCAAATTTGGTAACATATACTATTCAAAAAAAGTAGGGGATATTTGATTTTGGGGGCATAATACTAAAATATGCAAATGACTACGAAAAAAGTCACTATAGAACCTAACAGAAGAAACATTTCCAGTTACATGTGACGCCCAAACGCACCAATAGCTACCGCATGGAATGCAGGTGATGCTTGGGATCATCATGGGGGTCCAACCCAAGATTTGCACGACTCTGACTTTGAATGTTACAGTCATTGTGGCATTGAATTCCAGGGTGGAAACATCAGTTTAATTGTTTTAGTGACCAGAAAACAAATTTTGATATGCGTCGGCTTACCCAAAATGAAAGGTTACGTGCCCTTGGCATGCTACAGATCGGCACAACACAGGCGGTTGTGGCGCGGACGATGAATGTTTCTCAGTCTGTCATAAGCAGGCTATGGTCCAGATACCGTGATACACAATCTGTACAGGACAGACCACGTTCAGGTCGACCAAGGGCGACAACTCAAGCCCAGGATCGATTTATCCGTACCTTGGCCTTGAGAAATCGTGTCATCACAGCAAATCAGATCAGCGCTCGTCTTCAAACAGACACTGGTGTGAGAGTGAGTGGCCAGACGATTCGGAATCGACTGCATAGGGGTCACCTTCGCGCCCGACGTCCTCGCGTGATCCCTTGTTTGAGAGATCATCACATTCAGGCAAGACGTCATTGGTGTAGGGATCGTCAACACTGGGATAATCGACGCTGGAGCAATGTGATGTTTTCAGATGAGTCAAGGTTCACTGTTGATTTTTTGGACAGACGTAGGAGGGTGTGGCGTCGTTGAAACGAGCGCTTCCAAGACGTTAACGTCATCAGACATGATCGATTTGGGGGTGGTTCTGTTATGGTGTGGGGAGGCATCACTGTTGCTGGAAGAACGGCTTTACATGTTGTTGCAGGGCGTGTTACAGGCCAGTACTACCGGGACAACATCTTGGCAGTCCATGTTGTGCCGTTGGCACGACGTCATGGCCGCCGTTTCATCTTCCAGAATGACAACGCAAGATGTCACAGGGCCAGGATCGTTACAGGTTACCTCCAACAACAGAACATCACCACATTACCTTGGCCAGCACTGAGTCCCGACCTCTCCCCTATCGAGCATGTCCGGGACATGCTTGGACAGAGGTTACGTCAACGTCAACAACGTCCTGCCAATGTCCAAGAACTTGCTGCTGCGTTGCAACAGGAATGGGACAATCTGGACCAAAATGACCTTAGACGTCTCATTAGGAGTATGCCACGTCGGAACAATGCTTGTTTGGCAAACAGAGGAGGATTTACCCGTTACTGACTTGGTTGTGATGCTGTGGTAACTTTGCTGTTTGACCCCGGGTATCATTTTACCCTTATAATGGTCAGTCTGTGCCTTACTTAGACTAACGATCATTTGGAATAAATCGATGAATGTGAACTTCATTTCATTTTGCCATTTGTTTCTTCGTCAGTTTCATTAGGTGACTTTAATAACACTTAAAAATCAAATATCCCCTACTTTTTTTGAATAGTATATTTCAGTCAAAATCAAAGAGCTGCTTGCGTAAGGTTGTGTGTCAGATTTAATGAACCCTTGGGGGATATATTGATATTTCATGTCGCTGAGTTCTACTGAATATCTAAGATACGAGGCCAAGCTCAAATTTTTATTAACCAGGGATGCTTTCATAAGTTGATAATTTTTGAGAATTGTGCCGAGAAGGAGGCTTCAATTAAACATACATTATGCAAGAGCTAAATCTGCCTGAAATGTTATCTAAATTATTAATTAGACGTTAATTAACCTATCCAGGCCATAATCAACTCAAGATGGCATCACTAGCCTGCGATCTTTAGTGGATTATGAGCCAATTTACTGCATAACTTTCCTTCACGATTTAACGATTAAATGGATAATCGAGACTATGCTGTTTATCGTACAGCCTTTAGTAATGATGACCAAGGCTTATGTGAATTTCAGTCGCTTAGTTCTCGGTTCATAGTAAATCAATTTGAATGAAATTTTCACCAAATTGCTTTTACATTATCTAGTTTTTAACTATTATAGTGAGAACTGCCAACTCGTTACCGAATCTCTCATAATGTATCTTTAAATGCCTAGAAACTTTAATTTAAAAATTCAGGTACAAAGCAGGAAGGCATAAAAAAACTCAATTCAGTATTAAAGAAGTAAAAGCAGCCGTAATTAAAACCTGATCTTTCTTTCTACACAAGATCTAAATACTACTTTATTAATTCTGTGCTCTGATTATAACCAATGATTGATTAAAATCATTCTTATCTATGCCAATGCATCTGTTCATTGACTAGAAAAAAGGCCAGATCAATTGAAGAAACTGTGCATCACTTTCGACTTTTAAAGCAAAACTCAAAACTTTTTTTATTTACCATAGCTTTTTATTAAAGATACATTATGGGAGATTCGATAACGAGTTGGTAGTTCTCACTATAATAGTTAAAAACGAGATAATGTAAAGGCAAATTGCTGAAAATTTCATTCAAATTGATCCACTATGAACCGAAAACTAAGCGAATGAAATTTCTTCCTAGCCTCGGTCATCATAACTAAAGTCAGTACAGTAAACAGCATAGTCTTGATTATCCATTTAATCGTTTAATCGAGAAGGAAAGTTATGCAGTAAATCGGCTCACAATCCACTTAAGATCGCAGGCTAGTGATGCCATCTTGAGTTGATTATGGTCTGGATAAGTTAATTAAAGTCTAATTAATAATTTAGATAACATTTCAGGCCTAAAGAAAGACATGCAATAGACAGATTTAGCTCTTGCATAATGTATGTTTAACTGTGATACAGTCTTTTTATCCAAATTCTTAACTTAATTGTTTTTATATTCACATTTTGGTTCAGTCATTTTATATATTCTTATTTTTGCCTTTGACTATTTACATGTATTTTTATTCTTATGTATTGTATTTTCTTTAAGTTTGTAAACAGTATCTGGGCACTTAGGTGAAAGATGTGCTATATAATTTATAAATACACCATAATAAATAATAATAATAATGTAAAAACATAGAAACAAAATTAAAGTCTAATTTTACTTAGACTGTTTTAAATCCTACCATCTATGTGTAATATAACTGGTTTAAATCGCAATTTCTTATGAGCTCTTGGGCTTAAACCCTGAAACAAAGGAAAATTTAACAATTTAAAATAAATATTAATGAAACAGCTGAGAGATAGGGGGAGAAATGGGGTATATCATTCACTTGACACTAATCAAGTCATTTCATGACTAAAATAATATATTTTTATCTCAATAATTTAGCTTGTGCGCTGAGGTCTTTAGAAGTCAGACAACATCAGAGAAAAGAAACGAGCTTGGGCAAGCAACCCTGCTCGGTGTAACATACAAATCTTGGATTGCATCCGTGACTTACATAGATAACTGACCTTATGATCTAAAGCGCACCCATTACACCACTGAACAAGCAGTCTTAATTGGCTTTTTTTGTCGGCTTTAGTCGCTTAATGTTCAATAAAGCCGATTGGTAAAACATTGAACAGGCCTCACTATGGTATCATAAATCAATCTACTTTCAGCTAAATTACAACAGGTTAATTATTACTTGTTGATTAAGAAGCCAATCAACTTGCTTGTCGGCTACAACAACAGTCATACCATAGCTAGAATCGACCATGTGGTTGAGAGACTCAACCCAACTAGAAAGGAAAAAGGGAGGAAGGATATGTGGAAGCTCTTACATACATTTAAATATCCAGTTGCCAATTATGTCATATTATAATGATGAATTTTTCGTGAAATTGTTTAAAAGGGGTGTTCTAAGAAGCAACAGACATTCAAATCATACCCATAGCTTCCCAGCCCTTCATTTGCACCCCCAAATTTAAGATACCCAGTACCTCTTGAACCAGATGTAGTAAAGCTGTAGATGAGGGCCCACCAGAATAGGCCAACAAAACAACATCTCCATCTCGTACTAACTTAGATTTACCAATAGCTGATCGAAATTTGTGAACAACATAAACCGTAAAACACTTCCTAAAATTAAAGAAGATATTTACCTTGTTAAAATGATTCTATTTACGGTACATACTTATCTACATAATTAATATAACACAATTAAAAAAAACAATCAAATATAAAGTAACATCACAATTTTATTTATTTTTTCTGATCATTACAACATTCTATTAACTGTAATCTAACCAATTAACTTAATATCATACAGATATACTACCAAAAAGAATTCTTATAGCGGACAACTGTACAGTATTCTAAATGTATTATAAGAAAAACATATATAATCTCTAAATCACTAATATGATTCCGTACTTATTTTCCCATGATTTTTCACAAAGTCTATTTTAATTTGATTAATCAAGAAGTTCAGACTCTGAATGCTGACTACAAAGAAAATATCTAGAGAGAGAGAAAGAAATGGGGTTTAACAACCACTTGACACAAACTAGGTCATTTCGGGACTAACATATGGTTCAATTTTATTTCAACAATTTGCTTGCACGTAGGGATCTTTAGCAGTGGGAGGAAACTGGAGGACCCGGAGAAAACCCACGAGATTGGACAGGCAACTTTACTCCGTGTCATGTACAATTAGGGAATCAAAAACATGCCAGTTGACTCAATGACATACCGTATGATGCAACGTGCACTTGCTAATCATTCGGCCATTCCCCCACCCCCCACCCCCAGATGTTCATGCAGTACAACATAAAAAATGAAAGGAATCATAATTAACGACTGATTTTAATGCAAAAATACCTGCAAAATGCATCATTAACTCTGGTTATAATAAAACCATCTTCTTCACATTTCATACATTTTCTTCCCACACTGAAATGTAATCAATGAAACAGATATAAAAATTATTCAAGAATCTTTTTAAAAAAGGAGATGTTCTTATTATTTTATCCTTTTAACTAGCTTGTATAGCACAAATGGCTGTTTTGCTTAGTTTCCCTGAGAGGGATGACATCGGTGTGAGTAAATCATCTCACCATATTAACTTTTTTCCATCTGCAAATAAAATTCTAATACATTTTTTGAAGTATTAGAAAAATAAATAAAGGCGTAGAAGTATATCCGGATAAAAAATATTCCTATTTAGTGTAAATGGGTATATAAAATGAGTAAAAGGCACCATTCTGCCCAGACCAGTTTAGATGTCTTACATGTATACAATTCATGTGTCATCGAGCCAATGATCGACATTATACGATGTGACATACTTAAACTTAAAAGGACACGGGTCACAATTATTACTACACTAAGCTGGTTACCAAGGAAACAAGGGCCAAAGTTATTTTCAGTCTTTCTCTCCCTTTCCCGTTTTCCCCCTTTTCCATGCAATCTTTGTTGACTTTTTGGTGCAGAATCGAAGAAAAGTTGAAAAGGGTTTGAAATTATGAATATACATTTTCTGCCTGGTTTTGGTGAATATTCATAATTTTGAGGTGGAAGGATATGAGAGTTAAGACATTGGTTAGGGTGAAATGTGGGGTAGAAAGTTGCATGTTTACTTGCCTCTACTTGCAGTTTCTGAATCTGTACGTCACAGGGCCTGTTACAGCATATATGTGACGGGGAGTGATCGGAGTGCATTAAGAACATGTGGATAGAGCTGTCTTAAAGTGCTCCTTTGATGGAGCGCCCACTGTACTAACTGTCATCAAAAATCAGGGGTCATGGCTCGCTAGCCTGGAGGTCGGATGTTCCCCCTTGTCAGTGATGCAGAATGGAGGGTCTGACAAGGACTGTCTAGTCATTCGGATTAGACGAAAAACTGAGGTCCCGTGTACACATTGGCGTGCACGTAAAAGATCCCTTGGCAGTTGGAATTTGATATGAGTAGGCCATAGTGCCGCTGTCCGGGCAAAATTTCCCTCATAGCACACTGTATCACACAGTGTATGGCGTATACCCGTCTTCATTAGCCCAGTTCGGAGCAAAACAGTAGGACGTTATAACCCCATTTCATTTCATTTCCAATCAAAAATCATCTTTGGGAAGAATGAATGTCTGTAAAGTTTTGCAACCACTGTTTTGAAACATTTAGAATTGTTTGTTACATACTTTATTACTATACATGGTTATGGTTTTCTACGACGTAAAGTCTGAATTATGTTTAGCTTTAATTCGGCGTTTAGATTTAATGGGAATTAAATAGTCATGACAAATGAAAGGTGGTGCCAGCCCCTCGACCACCTTGTAGAAGAAAGGGGTATACTATAGATTATTGAACTAGGCCACGAGCAATAGTATAGAGTTAGAAATAGGTTTCCGCAATACTTCTGTGAAACGTCAAACGGATTGATACCTTGTATTCTTGTCCCTTGGTTTGGCAATTTCATCTCCATCAGCAACACTGCACATTATTCAATTTCTGGTCAATTCGTTAGCTGTACAAAATACTTTTCTTAGGAAGGAAAATCTGATTAAACGTTGTGAAATAATTAGTCCACCCCACACGTGCATTTGTTTACGGCTGTACAGCTTTTCTTAACAAGCAAGAGTTGCCCCCCCTTGCCGACTTGGTTAGCCAGACTCATAAAGTTTCTATAACTCGATGGCATCATAGTTCCATGATGGCATAGTAGAGCAGGAGCCCAGGGGGTTAACCTAGCTGAAAGTGTACCAATTTTCTCCAATATGGTTTCAATGCATGTATATCTGGTATCATCAGAATGTAAGTCTGCCTTGTTTCTGGTGGTGGGTGTGGTATTCCACGCCCAAAATGCCATGGCCCCCAACTACTCTAGGCTATAACTTAGGGGTAACCCACCGCACAAACTGTCTGGCAGTGGTCATTCATGATTCCTGTGGTGCTACTGAACAACTCCAAAGCTGTTTTAGGGGGTACAGATTTCAGCTAATCTAGCCTAGCTGTGGGCTGGAAATTAGATAACTCTTGTCAGGGATACTCTACCACTACAAATGTCTGACAATTACATAGCTCTGCCAGGGGTAACCCACCACTAGAACTGTCTGTTACAATGTTTTTGTAACACCTGAAGATGTACGGTACACTGCTGTACGATTTTCATGTGGTACACTTTTGAGCTAATCTAGCCTAGTTGGGGTGCATTTCATTTTGGGCGTGGAATACCACACCCACCACCGGAAACCCGGCAGACTTACATTCTGATGATACCAGATATACATGCATTGATAACATTTAGGAAAAAATTGGTATACTTTTCAGCTAGGTTGCCCCCCCCCCCCGGGCCCCGGTCTATAGACTACGAAAGCCCAGAAGGCTCATTCCAAATTCCAAAATTCCAAATTCCAAATGCGAAATTCCAAATTCATGTCTTACCAATAAAATAGCAAATTGGCAGCCCCCTCACTTAAACAATTTAAAATTTAAATAAATTGGCAGCCCCCTCACTTAAACAATTTAAAATTTAAATAAACTGTAATTTTACACAACTAATTAGTGCTAGTTTACCTATCTGATGCCTGGGCCGGATAAACACCCGTTCCAAATTACTAGATTCGAAATTCCAAATTCCAAATTCATGTCTTACCAATGAAATAGCAAATTGGCAGCCCCCCTCAATTAAACAAATTAGAATTTAAATTAATAGTAATTTTACACAACTAATAAAAGTGCTATAGTTTACCTATTTAATGCCTGGGCCGGATAAACACCCGTTCCAAATTACTACATTGTTACTCATTTATATATTACCATAATTAAACAAATTAGAATTTAAATAAATTGTAATTTTACACAACTAATTAAGTGCTAGTTTACCTATCTGATCCCTGGGCCGTATAAACACCCGTTCCAAATTACTACATTGTTACTCATTTATGTATTACCATATGAGAGAGTGAGAGAGAAAAAGGGGGAGGGGGTAACGTCCACTAGGCACAAACTAGGTCTTTTCGGGACTAACACATGGTTCAATTTTATTTGAATAATTCGCTTGCGACCCTAATCCCTAGCACGTACAACCGGGGAATCGAAACGCCGCCAGTCCTATAATACCAGACACACCATATGCAAAGTATTTATGGTTTTGTGGTTAGAGTTTAGACTACTTTTTTTTATACATTTCACCGATGTGGTTACTTGTATAGTTGAATTTTACTACATATGCTTACATTCGTATTTCGTGTAGCATATAGCAGATCATGACTCATGCTGGCATTACACAATGGGTTCTTTGGGTTGTATTCCTAATTGTTTTCAAATTTGAGTGAAGTCTGTGTCACTACAGACCCGGCTAGCCCCCGGATCCATTCACTTTTTTGAATTGTCTGTATGTTTGTGTTTTCCTGAGTATGATGTCCTGTCCGTGTATTTGTTTTTGTGTAAATTTTGTGTGGTGCAGTTCCCCTGCACTTACTATTATATAGGAGCCAGGGGTATTTTATATTGGGAAACAACATTTTAATTTAGTAAGATAGATAGGCATTATCCAATAAGGAGTGTGGCACTTTGGCATTATCAAAGTATTATTGAAAAGGTCCATGGGGACTGACATTTCAAATGTAGGCATCCGAACATTGGCTATTTCGTGTATTATTTTAAAAGTTGTTAAATACTTTTAATATTCGACAATACGTTAGTCTAGATCAGTGATTCTCAACCAGTGCGCCGCGGCACACGGGTGTGCCGCGAGATCTTCCTACGTGTGCCGCGGAATTTTGAAAGGCACATTAAGAAAATACGACAAACCACATGATCCCAATTGAGTATTCGCTGATAAGATGTGTTTTTCTTTATTTATTTTAAGACATTCTACGTTTCTATGACTACTCTCTGTCTAGGGTTGTATGCCGCCTGACTTGCCATGTTTTTATTTTGCAAGATTCAAATATTTTTTTGTATACTCTTCGAAAAAAGTAGGGGATATTCAGAAACAATACAAAACTGCGGAAATGCACTGCTGTTTTTATTAGAGGTAGTTCAGCTCTGAACGTAGGTCGCATTACACTCGCCCTGTACGTTCAGGAACCGTCCTATTGAATCCTTGGCGAAACTGAAATTGCTTCCCAGTCAATTTTACTGGGCAACTTTTTACTGCTAAATGGTGGGGTGTCTCTCGATCATGTCCCAGACATGCTCTATAGGGGAAAGGTCAGGACACATGACTGGCCAGGGCATATGGACAATACGGTGACGCTGGGGGTAGTCATTCACGACACAAGCGCGGTGAGCACGAGCATTATCATCTTGAAAGACGAAACGTCGACCTGCACGATGAGCAAAGGGCAGAACTATCGGTGCCAGGATGTGGTCACGGTAGTACACACCAGTGACCCTTCCTTGAACAATATGCAAGTCCGTTCTGCCAGTCATGGTGATTCCTTCCCACACCATAACAGCCCCACGCCAGGGGCGGATTGGGCCATCGGGTGATCGCCCGAAGGACCGGTCGGACAAAAAATGAAAAAAATTTTTTTGTCCAATTCGTCTAAAAAACCCTTTTCTGCTGCACATTATATGGGGGGGGGGTATGGATTGGCCATGGAGCGATGATGATCATGTTGTATGTGGCCGGTGGCTTTAACGGGCCGCCACGCCATCACTGGAATCTGGAATGGGCTGGTATAACAGACTTTCTGGACCGGTTGTGCTGGGTGTGGGCCGGAATTCGGAATCATGCAATTTTAAGGCCTCAGCAAAATTTGATGATAGCTGGTCTGCTGGCTTAATATGAGTGCGAGACGATTTCCTGAGGCTGGTGTATAAAAAGGTTCCTTGACATTTTTATTAACTCGTTATTTTCAGAGATGAAATTACAGAATTGGGATATCGGGAATGGTCTCAAATTGAGGGAAATGGCCTCCCATTTCCAAAAATTAAAAAATGAATTGTGTCCCGTACGCCTATGCATGTCCGCTCCCACTCCGTCAAGGCAACACTGTTATTCAGTATTCCTAACTGGTTAATAAAATGGTCAAAATTTTTTCAACTAGTCCCATTTTTTAACCAGTTAAATTCTATTGACTCTTGACGATACAATGATAATATGTTAATTAATAATATGACGATATGATAATTTCACAGGTTGATGGTTGTAAATTACTTGCAGGTCGGGGTTTTGGCCTAAATTAATCGATTTATGAGATATATTATATTATTTGACAGAGATTATAATCAGATATACCACCAAATTGCATATTTGGGGTTCATTTTTCAAAATGGCCGAGTTCTTAAATTTGTGCGCTACCCTTTCAATGATGTCCGCCAAGTTGGTTAGAAGACGGAGACGTATTTTTTAACAGCGTGTTGTGTCGCTCATACTGACTCTAGCCAGGTAAGCAAGGTCTTATTTTCTCCCTAAGATGTTCATTTATATTGTTCAGGCGTTCACAGGGACTGACACGCGACCGGTTAGCAGTAAAAAGTTGCCCAGTAAAATTGACTGGGAAGCGATTAGATTTTCGACAAGGATTCAATAGGACAGTCCCTGAACGTAGAGGTCGAGTGTAATGAGATCTACGTTCAGAGCTGAACTACCTACACCATTGACGCCTGTTTGCCATGTGCTGGCGAGTTAATGGAGACACAACACGCGGTCGTCGCGCATGCAAATGGGCTGCATGTAGCCGATTTCTAATCGTTTGAGGTGCAACTTGAATTCCTGTAACTTGGTACAAGTTTACAGAAAGCTGATTGACCGTTTGTCCTCGATTTCGCAGGACCTGTGTACGAATGTATCGATCCTGTGCTGTTGTAGTGGCTCTAGGACGACCTGAACGAGGTGTATCATCAACATTTTGTGTTTGATGGTACCGGTTGCACAGTCTGCTGATCACAGAATGTGACACATTAAGCATGTTAGCTACTGCTCAGTGTGTTCATCATGTTGAAGACATCTGATTGCAAATTAAACGTAACACACTAAAGCAAAGATACACTAAACAGTAAATCTTATGCAAGAACCGATAGGAAAGCAAACATGGATAGAATAAACCAGCATGCGGCAGTTTTCATCAACCCTTCCTTGAAGTGTCAAATTTGACAATGAACCCCTCCCACGTGTATGGCGCTATTGTGTGTCGCACGTGCAGCTCAGTGGTTGTGTTGGGGCGATAAGTTCTTCATCCGTGAACATACCCTCAAAACATGTCAAGTGTCCATGAATATTTATCATATCATAACCTGCATAGGTATTTGCATTTCAATATCCCCTTCTTTTGAAGAGTATACTTAGTCAGGTGTGCCGCCATTTTTTTCATGTGTTCCAAGGTGTGCCATTGGCAAAAAAAGGTTTGAGTCAGAAATATCACATGTTTGTGACAATTCTCAATACTTTCTGTTATCCAAAATACCATAAAACTACGAAATTCAATCGATTTAATTAGTTTATCGATACGCATTATTTTCACTGAAGCCTGCGAGTAAATCAAATGCCAAGGTCACGAAAGCGACATGCAAGTTCAAGGTCAACCAACTGATACATTTCAAAACGAATAATACGCAATAAACTTATTTATTTCATCTCTCGACGACTGTCTGACCATGTGCAGACATT